GGGGGGGGGGGGGGGGGGGGGGGGGGGTCCACTTCTCACCCGGGGACTGTGGTCTCCCTTTCCTGCTGTTTGGCGGTTTTACTCGGAAAGTGAATGGAGAAAATCAGGATTTTCTAACTAATACTGACTGCTGATACGGCGGGCTGTGAGGGACAAAATTACCACTGGCTGTAGATCATTTGTTTCCTGTACTCTTTCATTTTTACCCTCAAATTAATTTCCACATCAGCTTCTCCTTTAAGGGCCTAAATTGTGCTTAAGATCATCTCACTATGATGAACTCATGCTCTCAACTGACAACAGGTGCTTAAGAACACCTTGCATCTTTTCAGTCTTTAAAGAACCTCCTGTGACTTCGGGAAAGAATAGATTCTTATTGGCTGACAGCCAGATATTCTATTAATGTTACAGCTTGGTTGTTGTCTTTTTATTATCTTTATATTCCTGTCTAAGCATAGCCAAAGCCACTTCGCCTGAGTACAAACTGATCTCCGTTGGTACACAATTGTTGGCTTTATGATGTGTTTTGACAATTCTTTTTCAAAGATGCTGGCTCATAAGAGCAATTTGAAGTCTAAGAGTCCGTGGCGAAGAGGATAAAGGGTGTTAGCGCCTGACGGGAGTTGGGGACAGCTGTGAATATTCAGCCTGTGCAGGCAGGGGCTTAAGCGAGTGTGCGATTGGATGAAAGCAGAACCAGAACCAGAAGAGGGAGGACTGGGCTGGATTTCGTGGCCCTGCTTGTGGCGGCGCTTTCTGCCTTTGATCTGTCATGTGTCCACTATCATTGCTGTGGTTCCCATGCCGGGGGCAAAGCACACCTACGGACAGCACGCAGCAGTGAGGAGGGGGGGGGGGAAGCCAATGATGTTAACTGATGTTAACTGATTAGTGTCGCTCAGCGTTGACAAGAGAGTTTGCTGTAGACGTTAGTCACTCAGAAGCAAGAAGAAGAAGAGGAGGAGGAGGAGCAGGAGGGGAGTCTGCTGGTGGTAAAGCTGAGGGAGCTACAGAGGAGGCTAAGAGGAACCAGGAGATGACAGGAACAGTACAGTGACAGAAGCATCGTTATACACTTTAAAAAAAAGGTGTTTTCAACCCATCCGTGAGCGACGTCAGAGACCGAGCGCATCCCGACAAAACCCTCCCGGATGTGTTGAAAAAGCTCCCCCCGTTTAAAGAGCTTTGAAAGTGGATTCTATTTGCGTTAATGGCGTCAGAGCAGGCAGCCCTTCACACAAAGCCACGGCCATGCATTTTTTTTTTTCCATCAGATGCCGGTTTCGGCTCAAATCGTCTTCGCACGGATCAGATCCCCCCCGGGAGGAAGACACTGATCGTCGCGTTGAGACGGCTTTGAGAAACCCGCGAGGCAGACTGGCAGTGAGGTACATCTCAGGAGTTTGTTTTGGGAAAGCGGGGGTCTGAAAGCAGTGCCAATTAACCAGAGAAGGTCCATCAGCCGGGTTTCCGAGCTGTTGTGCATTCAGATTTGGGAAAAAACGATAAATTTAACAATTTGAGATGCTTTTTGCAATTCTGTGCTGCATAATAATCTTTCACTACATGATACACACATCAAATCTGGCAGAAATGATGCCCATGGCCTGCTTTTGGCCACCAGAAAAGCCAACGTGGTTATTTAATTCAATGTAGATCTTGAATGAAGGGACAGCTTGCCAAATTCAAAGGTTCCTGTTCTAATCTGTTCAGAGTTTAAGTTGGAAAGTTGGAATTGGTCTTAATTAGCTGATTCTATATTAAAAGATTGTGACAGCATACAGTGACATACTGTAGATGAAGCCAGTTAACTGGACCTATTCTACTGTGGCTTCAATCCCTAAAGGCTGCTCAGTGCTGCACCAGCTGACTGCTGCTCTATCACATATTACTACATTTCCAACTTTTGTGATCAATAAATCATTCAAACTTTACTGATGTAGCCCTTTCCGAAGCCATTCAACATGAATAATAAAGAATGCAATTAAAAAATATGAATGGAAAGAGATCAAATAGATAAATGATAAAACAATTGAACTACAAGGAGTTGGTTTTATGTGAAATTAATGTAGAATAAAAACATTTCCTGCACAAAAATCTGTCTTCTGATCATCAAACTGGGTCAGAAAGTGTGTTCTGGGACTCATCTGGGAAAACGGCAGCCTTTTAGATATTCTTTTTGACCTTTTCTGGCAATGACACTACGCTTTAAAAAACATGTTAGATGGAAAATCTGTCCAAGGTCTGATGTTTGTATCACAAAATGTGAAAAAGTTGCACTAATCCGCAGCATTAGACAGGAACATCTGGGATATTCCATCCAGTTGTTTTCCAGTTGACCAATTTTTCTATTGATCTATCTTTCATTGGCTCTTAGATTCGTCTGGCATCGTCAACCAAATTCTGAGATGTTCCTCAGTGGGTACATAACCACATTATTGCCACATTTTCAATTTTCGAGGAAAGAGAGAAATATAGAGGGTGAGAGGAAACAGTCTCGCCATACTGCTAAAAAGCAAACATGCCAATATTACAGGATGGTTCTTTTAATTCTGTTTTTATCTACTGACGTCGTGGCTGACGCTAATCTGTAGACCGGCATGTTTGTGCCAAAGTTGGACTTTCAAACAGACACACAAACGTAAGTGCTGTTCAGCCAAAATTACAGACTGGCGTCCTCGGCCCCATCGGAAAAACGGGCTCCGTTGATCTCGTCAGCGGGAGAATCAGCGTGTTTGTCAGATGGGAAAGGCGCAGCAATCACTTCCTTCGTCATGCTTCTTTTCACTTTGTAAAAACACACGCTAAAAATTTCATGCATCCGAAATTGCTCAGATTTTCCTGCACTCGACTTTAAATCCTTTCAAAATCCGTCACTTCTCTCTGAACTTCCCAGGGTCGGTAAACTAAGCTTAACAAAGAGGCCTCTGGTGCTGCTACCAGCTAACTTGGGCTCAATGAACCTGCATTGGAGTCATTTTGCTCCTTTTTGGTTTGGTCCAGCCCGATTGGTTCTGCATTGGTTTGCACAGTCAGGTCAGACTATCTGGCTGAGAGAGGAGGTGAAGAGGGGTGAAGGGATAGACTGAGAGATAGTTCAGCTAGGGTGGGCTACACTTTACCATCGGACTGATCCGGGAATACTGCGTTATCATCGGCAAAGCAGCGTGTGCCTGTAATGTTACCGTAGTCAAATATGGGCCCTTCCAGCAAAGTCACAATATCCAACCGATTGATCTTAGTCAGCACCGCAGTTAAAGCATCCGCTGGGGGGGGAGAGAAACACAAAGGTTATTCCAGCAGTCATAACGCAGCATCACAGAACACTCAACCCCCTCATAGTGTATAGAAGCCAGCTCTATCGTGGAATTCACCGTGCTATTTGCTGTTGAGGAGGAAAATAACAAGGACATGGCAACCTGACGGCATGCTGAGGGGCTTTTTCGGTGCAGTCTTGAGCACTTGGCTCCGTCATTTGACAGGAAAAAAATGAGCTAGATACACCGGATAATTGACGTAACTGGACAGCGTCTCGTGCTAAAATGGCTGTCTCCCACCCCAGAATGGAAATTAAGCCTGTACTGATCCTCCCACTGCTTACAATCATGTTAATATAACAAACATAACCTCCAAAATGGAATGGTGCTTACTTGTGGCATTTTTACCATCCCTGTGCACCCATTTCTTTAGGAGCATGAAGCTCTGTGCTGTCAGGGAATTGGGGTTTTCCACTCTGATTAAGTTGATCTCGTCCACAGAGAAATCCAGCTCCCTGGCCAGCTCTGTAAAAGCAGAAAACACCAGAAATCATCAATAAATGATCTTTTCTTTCAGTAATTGCAATCAGAACATTGCACAGTAACATTACAGGTGTAGGTGTGTTAGAATAAGCACTGTCTGTTTTTTTTAAAATAACAAAACAAACACATGTGAGGGTACATGTTAAATAATCATAATGCAGTTAAAATGATATTTTTTACCTTCAGAGCCATTTTCCCCATCCCACAGTCTTATCTCTTGGGGCAAAATAAGTGATACGCTTTTTAAAGATACCATCTAAAGTGCCAGTGTGGGAAAAACATCGGACATCTGAATCTAATGGGGGAGAAAAATGACGCTGGAAGTGGGAAACTGCATCAGAATCGAACAGAACGCGCCGTTCAGTGCAGCAACAGGAGCGCATATCAAACACGGATTAAGCGCCAGACCAGCACGGCCCTGGGTGTCGGCCCCAGCGCACGTGCGCGCAGACGTGCGCGCGGCAGTGCTGCAGTGCTGGCGGTCGGGCTGGGCCGACTGCAGGGGCCACGCCCACCCCCGCAGCTCCAGCGCAGAGGGCTCACAAACCACCCCATTGATTTTCTTACATGCGCTCAGACACAGATCTGCTCCTGGGGGGGCGGGGTTACCCGTTCCCATCGGCCATCCTGTCGTCCAAACTCCTCACGGCTGGAACCACCGTGCGTGTTTTGAATGGTAAAACAAATCAAACACGAAAAACGAGCATCTTCACGGCCGTGTATTTCCAGGTTGGATCACACGTGTGCGTGAAGAATAAAGTTTTAAGTGCCACTGCAGCACTGCTCAAATATCTTTCTACCAAACGTTCACTAGATGGCAACAAACGCTGTGAATCGGCCGGTGTGAGAAGTGATCTGAGTCCGGATGATTCACTCTGCTGCTGCAGTGTCCTGTGTTGCACAGCGGCTGTCATGGAGGCTATGCTCGCATCTCCTCATGCCGCCTTATGGATGCATTTGACCCAAAGAGCAGAACTCAGGCACGCCGACACTCACCAGTCCAGCTGAGGCCGAGATGGTCAGCTACTATCGCCATGCGGACGTCTGTTCTCTCACAGGGGCTCTGAGGACCTGAGCGAGGGAGCAGTGAGGGGTGGGAGACAAGCAGTTAACGGGGAGTCACGTCAAACTAATCTGGTGTTTGTTAAAAAGAGAGACGTATACAAAATGGCTCCCAAAAGGGATAAAAGACACTAAATGAAAGAAACAGATTGAGAACTGAGAGTCTATCTACATGAATGTGGTTTCATCCTTTAACCTTCTTAATTAAGGCCTGAAAAGTTAAATCTCAGATTGTGTTTCCTGTCTTTCACTGCTTGTCTGCTCGGACTCTGAGGACTGTTTGAATAATAGATGAGCGTTTTGTTTCGTTTCTGCAGTAAGACATGAAGATACAACTGCTTTTATGTTTGACAGGAATAAAGTAAAGTTAGCACAATATCATCACCGCGTTCTGGTAGAGCGTCTAAGTTGTTTACTGCTCAAAAACCAGAGCCTGGAGGTTACTTAAATTTTAAAATAACAGCTAAGAGATCTGAACCGCATCGGTTCAACCAATTTTTGAATAAATTTACATTTCAAATCCATTTTTTGGGTATTATTGGATGACGACAGGGCATGGAGGCTTTCCAAATATCAGACAGCTGGGAATCATATTCACCAGGTTAGCAAATTATTGTTTTCAGTTGTGTTCACACTAATCGGGTCCTTGCATGTTTTGATGTCTTAAAAAAGAGAAAAGACCCACCGATAAGGTCATGACCTGATTGGACGGGTTATGTAGTGTGTATCTACTAATTCATAGCTTCATTGCTGTAATAATTGAAAGTCCTCCACCCCTAATGCCATCAGTATTAAAAGATAAGAGAGTCAAAATGAAAAGGTTTAAGACTAAATAATGAAGATTGTCCTGTGCAGCTGCTGTCATTGTTTTGGTTCTCTACCTTCATCCAACTTTTGACCAATAAACACCGAATCGATGTTTAGCATCCTGCCTCCAGTCGATGTGTTGTTAGTTTTAGTCGACGGAAGCTATATATGTATGTGCTATATGTATGTTCTGGTCCCAAAGCGAGCTTGAAATAGAAATCACTACTGGAGTAAGAGTTTGGAGGATTTTTTTAGGCCAGAAAAGATGAAAACAAGCCTAGAATCACAGTGAAATGTTTGAGGTTCAGCCGAATTAGTAGGACGAGTCTAAGAGTTTAGTTTGGAGTTTAGTGTCATCACTACCAGGCAGCGTTATCTTTCTCTCTGCTCATCCTTTCCAAAAAACGGCTGACTAAACTCACTAGATTTGAGGTGGCTGACAAGTTGAGCTAATGTGGTGTTTTTCAGTTATTTCATACAGAAACATTTCCACAAAATAATGCCCACAAACCAAGAAAGCTCACTGAGACAATCACAAACAAGGTTAATTTAGTTGACATCTTGCTCTAAGTCTTTGTCGGAGTGGAGGTGAGTGCTGTGTCCCACAGTGAGGTGCATGACTGACTTCATCTCAAACTTAAACTGAGGGAGTGTGCAGTGGCTCACAGTAAGAGGAAGCACCTGAAAGGCATTTGGCAATATTGATATCCTAGCTTATCGAACCTTTGATGTGCACTCTATGTTATTCTGATGCTAATTGGAAGGAAACCCGTTTTCTATCTGATGTGAAATGGCTCAAAATCGACATTGTCAAGGAAGCCTGTCTAAGATCCTCTCTGTGTCATAGCCTTCACGTTGATGCCTACATCAGACAGCACAGGACACAGATAACAAGAAGGACAGGAAGAGGAAACGACAGCTACACTCACGTCACGTCACAGAGCACCCCACAACAGCCACATGCATCTCAGAGAAAGATAAGTATAAGTGTTTAGAAAGGGTTTACAAACTAGTCTCGTTCTCCGTCACAGGAGCCGTGATTGGTTGATCAACCTGACTCCCTTCCTCCTTCTGCTCTCGCTCCTTCCCTCCAAGTGTCCGCCTACTCTTCCTCCTGCTCCTCCTCATCCTCTCACTGCTGGCCTGTTCAACCTCAGCTCTCACATCTCTAGCAGATGGTGTTGATATGGTGGTGGTGCTGGTGGAGGTGGAGGCAGAGGTAGAGGTGCGAGAAGGCCGGGAGCTCCTAGAGGCTCTAGGTGGTTCTGACAGGGAAGTGTTCCTGGTACTGCTGAGGCTGCAGCTCTCCTCGTCCTCAGTGGGCAGTGCTTTCCCCTCTAACTTTGTTTTAGCCTCCTTGGGGAACGCTTTGTCCAAAGTGTTGGCTACCTGTCTGCTACGGGACATCGTTCTGGAGTCCTTTGACACCAACGCAGTGTTTTTTTTCCCTGCTTCGTGGGCCGTGCTTCTACCTGAGGGTTTGGCTGAACTGTATCTGCGTTCAGTGCTGGATATGTTCTTTGTTTGCTGTGTCTTACATGTAGCTGGTTTAATGCTCTTATAAATAAATGAGGTGGTTTTAACCTGCTTCTGCTTCTGGGAACAAGAAGGGTATTTAATGGCTTTTAGTACTGGGATTTTGGATTTAGGTAATACACCATCAAAAGGATCGACTCTTTCTTTAAATTTAGGCATTGTGCATTTACTGAGTAGGAATTTATTGGCTTTTCCTTTAGCCTTGTCCTTCACTGCGGACTGCTTTTGACTGCATAGTTTCTGGCTGGGCAACCTCAATGGTAACTTGGACTTGAATATATGGCCTTTAACCTCTTTGGCTTCCGTATTCGTTATTGCTACTTTAGAAAAAGTCCCACACTCCCTCTTGAATTCCTCCAACTGGCTGGCAGACGCCTCTATCCGGCTGATCTCCTGCTGAGCGGGTCCCGAACAGGACAACGAGCCCAACACAACCCTGCCAGCTGGAAAAACCACAGTATGGGGGTCTGGGCCGGTGCTACTGGTATTGCTACTTTGTGTTTGCAAATTGCTAATCTGCTGTGAAGGTGCTGAAGGACACTCTGTGCTTTGGTAGGTGTTTTGATTATCCTGTGTCCCACCCAAATGGCCCCTCTGTTTGGATGCTCCTGAACAAGTGCTTTCAATCGAATAATAATCTACGCCAAATAATGGTTGGGGATTCAAAGGGTTATCTGTCATGCTTGATGTGTTATAATCAAAATAATTTGCATAGTTTGGGGTTAAACAGTAAAAACTATCTATAGCTTTTCCTGAGCTTTTGTCATTCTGACTATCAAAGGTGCTCGGTGTTCTATAATTAGCGGGGCTATTTGCAGCATTCGAGGTTTTATCAGGTGATGCTTGAAGCTTGAATCCTGTTCTAAAAGTGGAGAATTTTGGCTCAGTGTTGGAGGCCGAGTCTCCCCACGTGCTGTAACCGGCACCCACGTTCGATATTTCTACTGTGGTAGTCTGTATGGAGATTTGAGGGACTAGTAAATCGCAGCTGAATTGATCTCTGTGTTGTGAAGGGGTGTTTAAATCTGAGTCCCTGACCCTGTACCTGCCCGCTGAGTAGTAATGCTCACCAATCTGAAAAAACTGGAGCCTCTCCTCCACCATGTCCCTCTTGCTCATGTCAATCGCACCACTGCGTGTCATCTCAAACATCTTCCCTTCATGGAAGGGGAATGGGTTTTGCTCGCTCGTTGGCGTGCTATCGTCGGTTGGAGTTCGGGCTGGGGTCGTGTCTGTTGTCGTGGCCTGAGACTGGTCATCGACTGCCAGTCCAAAAGGCTTGGGCTCACCATTGCTTCCCCGCGTCCCTCCCATGTCAACGACTTCTCCTTCGCCACCTTTACTGGGCCAGGGGTCAAAGTCTAGCCCCTTGGTGGCGACGGTCTTAAAAGTTGAGTTAAATTCCTCCTCTAACTTATAACTAAAGTAAGTGTCTGAAAATCCTTCTTTATCTGAGTCTTTTTGTTCCTGACTTTTAGCTCCATTTGGACTAACACCATTTGAGGGGCTGTCTTTTTTCAAACTCTCCCTCTGGCATTCCTCTGGCGTTTTCTCCTCTTCAATAACTTCCAGTTTGGTCTGGGAAAAAGGGCGGTCGGAGGACCTAAATGTGTCCGTGGCCCAGACGTCTCTCCGGCTGTCTGGAAGACCAAAAAGCCTCAAATCTGCCTGCTCGCACAGGCCATCGTCCTCATCCTGAAGTTCGTATCCGTCTAGAGAGTCTATCTCTGTGGCGTCCGTGTCATGAGAAAACTCAGCCGTTGTGGCTATTGAACAGTCCGTGATTGACTGGTCATTTCCATTTTGTTCATATTCATAGTCCTCAACTTTGCCATTAGAACCTTTGGAACCATTGCTGGAACCATTGGAGCCATTGGTCCCACCATTAACCTCTTTGTTGTTTCCATTTTTGTCATGCTTTTTGGATTTGGAAGTCTTTTCCTTCTCCTTCCTTCTCTCCTCATCGTCAGAAACTTTGGAGGTGAATTTCTTACATGGAATTGGTTGGAAGATTGACTCATCCTCTTCGTCATTTGAATGATTGTCATCTGCCACTGGGGAAGGCGGCTGTATGCGTATTATTGGTTCGATTAGAAGGTGTTTGTCATGCTCTTCCTGCAAATTCACCTCCATCATTTCTGTCTCAGTCTCTGAGGAAGCGCAGGAGCCTTTTCTCTCTGGGTCTGAGGTTTCCGAGGCCGAGTCGAGCGGAGGAGGGGGAGGGAACTCAATGTATGCTATGCCTTTGTCTTTTGAAACTTCCTTTTGCTCCTGTCTTGTGAATTCATCATGCATGCCAGTTTCTAGCTGGTTAAAATGATCGAGCAAGTCCTGCTTATTATCAACAGTTTGTATTTCTTCCTCATTAGCATTAACGCGGTCTGCGTGGGTTACAGGAAGACAGGCTTTACTTTCTAGTGGGGCCTCTTTAAAAGAGAAAACCTCCCTGCCTCGCTCATCTTCTAACTCCTCCGACACCTCCATGATAGGGCTCGGTTGTCCTGTCATGAATCCTATAAAACCATCAGGGGTTTTGCATGTCAGGTCGTAACTGACTTCCTCAGAACTGGGGGTTTCTGGTGTAATGGGACTTTTGCCTGAACTGTCTATGAAAGAGACCTGCTCCAGTGTGTCATCTTCTGGGCTTAAGGGGCTGAGCGCATTGTTTGACTTCTGTTTGACTGAATACAGAGCTCCCTTTGCGTCCCTCTCTGCCTGCCGGCCCACCTGAACATAAACAGGTAACGTTTTAAGGCCCTTGAAGTCCTCCTTGGCTGTCACAGCAGCTGGAGGGGTTATGACTTTCTCTAGCATTTCTTTAGGGCTCAGCAGGTTATTGGAGTTGGAGTCTTTGGGTGCGTTATCTAGAATTTCAAAGGTTAGATCTGTTTTCGCTGGAGGTGTCTCCAGACTTTTCGTTTTAGACAGTGTGGGTATCTGTGACGGCTTTGTTACAGATAGTTTTTTTGCTGGGTCATTGTCTAAAGATGTCGTTCTGACAGGAATCTGAGATTCTGTCTTCTTTCTGAGGTTTTTGTTTTGTGGTTCCTCTGCATCTCTTTTGGGCAGCTCATCTTTATTTTCTTTGGAAACAAACTGACCTTTAGTTATTTGTTGGTTGTCTTTAGCATTAATCTCACTAACAGGGGTTGTCTGACCTTTCTGACCTTTGCTTTCTTTAATGTCTTTAGTTACACTGGAGTGAGTGTCTCTCTCCTTAGTTGGTGATTTAACAGTTTTAGTTTCATCAGTTTCTTGGGGGGCCTCTATAAGGTTTTTATTTGGCAGCTTATCGACCTTGTGGATTTTAGATAGGCCAAGTGCGGGTTTACTGCCCTCTGTAACCTTTTCAACATTATTTTTATGGGAATCTTCTGATGTTTCAGACACTTTTGAAGCCTTTCCACTAGAAAACTGATAAACAGGAAGTTTACTCTCCTGTAATTTCTTTACTGATGGTTTCGGTTGCACAGGAGGGGGAATTTTGGTAGGACTAGGTTGACTTTGACTTGTTTTCTGAGCCACAGACTCAAACTTCATCCTAACCGCACTGACTTTGGATGTTGATTTGATGTGAGAGGGAGAGGAGGGTTCAGACTCACTGGTCTTATTCTGTTGTTTGATTTTATCCTCATTTGCATTGGAGAACATGCTCTTCTGAGGACTGCTTGGTAAGCTAGAACTTTTCTTTTCGGCTGCTGTGGAGCTGCCGAACATTTTACCAACCGAAGGCTCCCTCGGCTTGCTTTTACTCGACCCCTCCTCTGCCGGCTTAGGTTTCTGCTGCGTTTTCTCCGGGCTGCTGCAGGCAGAGCTAGGCCAGGACCGAGGCTCCTTCGCCTCTCGCCTCACAGGCTTTTTCTCTGGAGATTGCAGCTCGTCGTTGAGCTTTTCCGTTTTGTCACGGAAGAACTGCGATACCTCACAGAGTTTTTCCTCAGCTTCCTTAACAGTTTGATCTACCCTATCCTCATAAAGCAGTTTATCTCTGCTCCTGTCGTGTTTGTCTTCTGTGAATCGCATCCACACTGCATGTTTGGGACTACCTTGTTCTGTGGAGTAATGCAGCACGGTCACCTTGTCAAACTGAGACGGTTCGTCCCTGTGCAGGAATTTACCTGATTTAGGAGACCCATCTTTTGACGCCTTTGACACAAACTCTCTTTTGGGGCTTCCGTGCTGCTGACTCATGCTCTCAGTGCTCCCAGTCTCCTCAGACACCTGGTGGCGGCTTTTGTCGGCCACCAGTGCTGAATCCTCTGTGTCTGAATGAGACTGCGATGACACATCGAGTTTCTCTGAGTGAAGCATTTTCTCTGCAAATCTATACGACTCGCCTCGAACCTCGGAAAGCTCGTCATCGCAGTACTCTATGGAGTGCTGGCTCAGCAGCTTTAGAGCTTTGTAAGAATCGTCCGCTACTAGCTGGGCAGAACTTGGGCGACTGTCTTCTTCCTGGGAAACTGGGGTGTTAACCCGAGATGTTTCCAGGAAGGAGGGAAGGGATTCTTCGGCAGTAAGCTCCTCCTCCTCCTGTTGGGTTTCATCATACTCAATAAGCTCCTTGATTCCGCGGTCAGCTTTGTAGACGTACAGCTCGGGGTGTTTCTTGGTTTCCCTGAAAATAACCTCTGTTGGCTCGGCTGTGCTATGACCCTTTTCAATATGAACTTCGATTATCCTCTCCACCTTAGGTTTTGATTTAATTTCTCTGTCGAGAAATCTGGGAGTCAGCTCATCACCTTTGATAGAATCTTGGTTTGCTTTGTGTTCAAACAGACCTGCAAAATCTTTAGACGGGTCCCTCCCTGACTGGAAAGCTTTCATAATGTCTCGAACTGACATGCCTTCCTCTATCATCTCTGTCCCATCAGTCAGCTGGGGCTTGTGATAAACCATTCTAGTTGTAGTGGTTATATGCGTTTCCTCCTTAAGACACATGCTTTTGTTCATCATGGCATCATCTTCTGGCATTTTCATCTGTAAGGCTTTTGCTGAAGCTGCCTCAGGCTCTATAACGGGCAGGGCAGATGCAGCCTCCTCCATCAGCCCTGGTTCCCCAAGATCTTCCGGTTGCTCGTAGCTTCTAATGTGGACCACCTCGGTCCTGGTTTCAGTGACGCATGGAGGGATGGGCGAATCTGTGAATAAAGGCTTGGGGCCTGTGCTTTCTGCACTCTGAGGAGCAGAAGGTGTCTTTTCACTTCTCGTCTCAAAGCCGCTGTCGGACAGGGGGCTCTTATCCTGCTCGTGAGACAGGTCCTCGGGGGACTCTAGTATCGTGTCCGACCCCTGATACGACTCAGCAAGCTTGCTAAGGTCCTTCTCTGAGGGTGACCTGATCATGCCTGAGACTGGTGGAGGCATTTTGAGTTTGTGCTCCTGTATGGACATAGATGGTTTGAGGACACGTTTCTGTTTCTCTTCCCCTTCCCTTTTCACCTCTTCCTCATACCTGCTTTTGAGCTCTGCCATTTTCGACAGAGAGTTTGCACCAGTGTCATTTGTGAGGAAATCAACGACTCTGGCTAATTCTAATTCTTTGCTTGACATGGACTGGTGCTTAAGATAGAGTGTGTTTTCATCAAAAGTGGGGTAATAATCTGGGAGCATACTCCTTTGTGCTTCTTCAATCTCATCTTTGGAAAATTCCTCCCACTCATCCTCTGAGACTACATCTTTCCCTTTAGCAGTCTTACCCTCGCTCATGATATCTTTCTGTAATATCTGACTGACTTTGACTAAATCTTCTTTCACTTTCTCCACTAAAGAATATGGCTCCTCGTCCTCTAACTTGGTTTCTTTAGGAGTGCCGGTGTGCGATGTCTGGACAGTTTTAGCCGCTGTCTGTGTGTCTGTTTGCAGGATAGCTGTCATTCTGATCAGATCCTCTTTCATGTCTGCTACATCTTTTAGTATCTCCTGGTTGGAAGCCGCAGTTGGGTGGATTATGGGTGGCGTGATGAATGGGGGGGATTTCAGCTGAGACTTGATTTTGGTCCCGGTGACACAGGTGGACAAACATGACGAAGGTGAGGATGAGGCGCGAGGGGAATCGGGAAGTGCCATTTTGAGAGACCCTGGCCCCGGTTTGACTGGGGTTTCCGGGATGACATTGACCAGTGAGTAAACGGGGACAGTCATTGTACTGGAAGAGACTGCTGTGCTTGGGGAGGCAGTTACAGATCTCAGAGTACTGTAAGCAGAGCTTGCTGTTGCAGATCTACGGGAGGAGGACAGTGATTTAAGAGTGCCATAGCCTGAGACGGAGTATGAGTCTATAGCTTCATTTATGGCTGCACTGACACCAGACGTCGCTGCCTGAGTGGTGGCCTGGATCCTCTCCTGAAGGCTGCTACTTCTCTCTGAGAGAAGACGTGAAGAAGGGGAGGATGGTGTGGAGGAGGACGAGGGGTATTTCACCGGCGACACCGTACCGTTCATCATGGAAAATTCTGAGGAAGCAATGGTTGTCTGGCCAGCTGAGGAGAAAGACGAGGCTGATGTCCTGCCCCCTCTGGATGACAGTGTGGATTCGACAGAGGTTTTTAAAGAGGATAGGCTGGAGATGCTTTTGACTGGAGAGAGGGTGGCCGCTGCTGCATCTGTCACTACGCTGGATCCAAGGGCAGTTTTGAAAGGAAGATTAGAGCTGTACATGTTGTAGGCTGTTTTTGTTGATTCTGCAGCAGGAACTGGAGCTGTAGATCTCTCTGATAAAGAAGCACTGGATACTGAATGAAGTGGAGAGGTTCTCGATGCGTAAGCCGAGGCAAGGTTTTTGATTGAAGCTGGATCTGTGGCAGGTTTACTCCCGGAGACCACCAGACTGGCAGACCCCTGATGAGGGTACTGACCCTGCTGGACAACTGTTTTAATAGGTGAAGGCACAGTCCTGTAAGACCTGATGGGGGAAGACGATGCTATGTCGCTCACTGGTTTAACTGGGGGTGACGGGCCAGGTACCGGTGATGGAGTGCCCAAAGTGGTTTTTATAGTTGTGGGGCATGCAGGTGATGTAGTTGAGAGGGGCCAGGTAGATTTTAATGGAGAAGCAGCTGGTGAGCCTGCCGGTGAATCGGTAGAGTTGAGGGAACCCCCCATTCCGACGGGCCTTGTTTGACCAGGGACGGTAATAGGAGCAGTCGACCATGGTGGGTAAGGTCTGGTTGGAAAGACAGGTTTGTGAGGGTGACCAGCAGGCAGTGCTCTTGCTGCTGCGCTTCGCTCGACTGCTGTTTCTTCAGTTGAATTGTGGGAGATAATGAACGAAGAGGGGATGGCAAAAAAATAACAGAAGAATGCAAAACCGTAAAGGTAACAAAAAGTTATGTTGGGGGAGGAAAAAGACAAACGAAATATGAAAGAAGAGAAGACCAGAGGAGGAAGACTTGGTCAGTGATTCAGTAGTATTATTCAGGAGGGAAAAACAGCAGTTTAATGTGCTGGTTAAGACATTTAAGCACTGGTTCAAGATGGACTTGAAGGAAACAGTGTGTTCCTGTGTGTTCAGGGTTGGTAGATGGCAATAACAGCAACAGAATGAACCAAACAAAGCACATAAAGCTGCAAAGTAAACATTTAAGGACGAATGACGCTGACAGACCGCTGACAACAGAAAAATGGCAGACAGATGCACCGGGTTTAACACAAAAACACAACACGAAAGCTCTTTCTTTGAACTTTAGATACTCTGACCAGCATAGGGATTCTTGCTGTAATTTTACTCCGCTTTTTTTTTCAGTGCCTTTTATCTGTTTGGTCCAAAATGACAGTTTCCTCAAAGACTATTTGTACACTATGATGCAATAGAGCCGAGGGCTGCAGAAACTTCCATTTTCCTTTTTCCATAAAACAAACAAAATGACAAAATGTGCTTTCCAAGACTGAAGTTTTGGCCCATTTTGTCATGTAGCAACTGACTGGTGAAAAGCAAAACTGTGAGAACTGAAAGAAAAATGCCTGAAAGAAGCCAAAATCGAGACCTCCAGCATGCATTGTTGCCCCACACACAGTTGGTGCATCATCACAAAGCCAAAAACAAGCTCTATATTCAAAGGGGACAAGGAAAATTTTACTTTGACCTCCGAAAACGCAAAGCAACACAACGCTGGTAAGTCAGAGTAAAACTTTAGGGTTTGGACTTGTAAAGGCAGCAGTGGAAATCAACAACACAAATCCAGAAGTACAACTCACAAAATAGGCAAGGCATGGCACAACAAACTTAAAAACCACGCACTGACTCATGCAAACACATGTACCATGTTGTAAACAAGCCAGTGGACAGTGCGTGTTATGTAGGATGAGAGATATGCATTTGTCACATTACGTAAGTCACATCTATTGATAACCCATTTTACAGGTTTAAGAAAACTGTTAGCAGACTAACTTATTTTCTAAACTTGGTCTTAGTTTATATTCATCAAAGGGTTTGTTAGTGAAGATGTCAAACTCACTCAGTGCAGGCTCGGCCAGATAGCTGTAGCGCTTACGTAAGGCTAGGGAAGCAAAGGTATGACGTCGTTCTGGCTTTTCAGTCTGCAACAATAGCAAACAACACAAAAACCTATCAGTTCTACGTCACCCTACATGGCACTGTGCTGCTAAGTGAGCACATTTTTATGAATAATTAAAGCAAACCATGTAGTCTGCATTAATTCTTTTAAAATTTATTATTTAATCTTAACATATGGCAGCAAATTATTTTGTACTTTAAATCATTTTTTTCATTAGATCTAATGCTAAGACTTACACAAGGGCTGTCACTTTTCCACAAAGCATGTTCAAACCAAATGCAAATAAAAATAATGCAGTTCTTACAAACTATACAAACGTGTCATATTCCTCAACAGATATGCTATCATTCAGGATCATCACTTTGGGATCTGTCCCATCACAAAGGCTCCTCTCCTGAAACAATACCAAGCTGCATATTTTTTTAAACCTTCCCATCTTGTTGGTGAAGGTTTATTCTTTATTGAAGGCCGATAGCAGAAATTTGGAGCTGTAGCAGCTGACAGTTCTGAACTGCTGGTGTTCTGGTGACACTGAGTAGTAACCACTGGTTTGCCTATGTTTGCCATCACTGCCTCACTCAGCTGGATGGTAGGCTGGTAGCTACTCGCTTTGTTTAAAGGGCCAAGTCGACTTCAGGATACTCTGGAGTGTCGGCCATCATTAGTTTCTATTTTATTGTCACGGCCGGATGCCAATGCCTAAATTCCCATCAAGCCTGTTGGTTAAATCGCTAACTCTGATTGGCTCTCTGGTGGACAAAATGGCAATAAAGGGAGGCAGGCTATGGCAATAGAATATTTATTAGTTTATATATATTTCCCTTTTTTTCTGCTAATGACAGTGGTCTTAACGAAGGATAGAGGACCATTTCAGCAGATAAGAAGGCTAGACTAGAATTTAAAAGGGTTAGAGGCCCTTAAAGTTTCCCCATTTTCAAATGGATGTTCTGACTTTGAAGAAAAAGTGACAGCCCCACGGCTTGAATTTAAGGCTAGAATAATACTCTAGATAAACTGGTTTGATTTAGTCATTATAAGGAAAGTAACTAGAATGCATTTGCCTGCACAATCTATGGTGTTATTTTTGAAGGTTTATATCTTGAGAAACTTGTAACACATTCTGTGGTGTGAGGGGATAAGGACTGGACAAAAGACATGTAGCTTTTCAGATCTAGCATATAGCATGCAAAACTAAGCAGCTAAAGGTGGCTTTGAGCAAGGAAAGAGGCCCTTGCAAAAGCAATAGAAATGAGCCTATAAGGAGCAGAGCAGGGCCACCGTAGATCTGGAGCAGAGGGCAGCACAGGGTGGGGAGGGTGTGGTTTACCTCATCCTCGGCATCTGACTCCATTTCCTGGTTCCCAAGATGCATTGCAGAAACAGGGGGAGTAACATAATGGAAAGCAGGGGGAAAAGAATCATCAGGGTGTGAAAAAGGAGTGATTGACAGAAGCTCCAACTCAGAAGCGAAGCCACTTTAGCAAAAATGAACAAATCAATTGAAAAAGAGCAGAAAATGAAACGAAAAGAATGCGCCAACATTCAGAAGCAAAAAAACGGCAAATGAAGTCAAGCCACAAAAAAAGCCAGCCTGATGATCAAAAAACCTTTAAGCACACCAGCCCCTCAGCCAAAAGCGTGTCGTCAAAACCAAAAGGCAGCTGGGAACAAAATGAAAACAGCCAATGACGAGAATCCACTGCAGAAATAACCAATGTATAAATAGAGAGAAGCTTTAAACAGATAAAAGACACAGTGGCGGCAGTTTGGCCAAAGTCTCTCTTTGTCTTTCATCTATGGGTGTTATTGGGAGCAGAATCTACCCTGACCACGGATATGGTTATGGACGTGACAACAGAGGATGGCGACTCACAACGCCTTACCTTTTTCACCGCAGGAAGCGTGATATTCAGGTTGCACACAGCTGTTTGGGGGAGGCCTTTTGTGTTCTTACACTCTTTCAGGAAAGTGAGGCGACCGCACGGCTCCTGACTGGGATCTCTGACCTAAAGAGACACAATTGCTTCTTTATTTTCTTATTTCCTATCTATTATTTCACCTGTTAGCATGTGCACATAAGTGATTAGACTGTGCGTCATAGTTAAAATGTTCTTTGTAGTTTTCTGGTTGAATCCGACTCGTTGATAGTGATGCTCAGTAGGAATAGAGACAGTGATGTGGAAAGGAGGATTTTAATGACACAAGCTCTTTAGATGATGGAGGAAGGTGTGTCATATTCAGGGCTTCATGGTTCACATCATGGAAGCTCAGGAGGCCACTCCACATTGTTACGGGATTATTTCTAAAAGGAGCTAATTTCCTTCAGGCAAATTTTAGCAAGAATTCAGAAATAATTTTTCCAGCTGTGTATGCAGCAATGGTTTGATAAAAAACCAAACTAAAAGTAGGCTTCAAAATGCTTGGGGCTCATTTTGGGGGGGATTTGAGATGGAGAATGTACATTAGGAGGTTTGAACGCCCCCAAAAATACCCCGGACTGGTGCTTTTACCCATCATATCCTGATTTTTTACTTGAAAAGTCACAAAAACCTGAATTTAACGAACTTGTTTGGGCCTCATTTAATTGTGGATCTTCCAGCTCCACATTCCGCCTGAAGAGGAGGAGTTACAAACCAAATAATAGATTACCTTGACACAAAATGGCAAACGGTTTTCCTTGAAAGCGTAGAAGTTAAGGAGCAATTGTTGACCAGCTTTGGTCAGAGGAGATAAGTTTCCATAGCAGTCCACATAGATGGGCCTGCCCTCCAGAACCTAAAGAAAAAAACAAATTCACTTTAAAACAAAACACACGAAGGTGGCACCAGTTTAAAATGAATAAAGTTTATTAAAACGGCTAGTTATTCATCCCAGAGTCTAAAAATTGATACATTTTTACTTCTGATTTTAAACCAAATAGATGGAGGAACGGTGTTGAGTGACCCTCTTCTGACTGATTACCTCTATGTCTTTGCTCCTGGCCACCTCCTCAAAGTTCTCCTGCTGCTCCAGGGTTTTGTCCACCTTGTCGTCCGTCATGCAGAAGCACCTCAGATTGGACTCCACTGGGTCGTTCATCTTGGCAAACACCACAAACTTGGCCATGTAGGGCACGCAGATCAGCTCCCTGTAGAGCTGCATGGCCAGGCTCACCGTCTCGGGGATTTGGTGACAGTCTGCTAACCAGAACCTGTCCGGGAGGCAAAGTGGTGGCTATAACGAAAGCCTCCAGGTGTATAAATGTTTCAGGTCTGTTGTTGTCGTGTGGTGACCCACCTGGCGGACACGTTAGTGGTGAAGGAGACGCAGTCGTTGACGAAAGTGAGGGGAGTTGTGCCTGTGATGTCCTCCCACTGAGCCGGGGACGTCCCACCTGTCAGAAAATCAGATTTCATGTTTAATGTGACTCATTTTTCCTCAACCGTCCACAGGGGAGAACGTGGGGTGAGGTTTTTTAAAGAAGAAACCCCACCTGTGATGCTGCAGAGGAGGCGGAGGCAGGGGGTGCTGTCCCCTTTGTAGCCGTTGCTAAGCCCCTCGCCTGAGAGGGGCGGGACTGGGATCGTCATGGTGATGGGCTTGTGGAACTTCCTCCTTCTGGGCTCCACGGTGACAATGGGGCTGAAGGTTGCTCGGTTACCGAGGATTTTCTTTACAGTGTCGTCGGGTATCGGCTGAGCCTAGAAAACAGTGAACCCGAGACTTTCCATTTGAGGGCCTTCTGTTGGAGTGCGGCACATCGCGTCTGAATGCTGATGCTTCATAGCATTTTAAAGACAAACACAGAAACAGTAGATCTGTTATATCTTTCAACTTACCTGCAACCCAACCTTAATCTTCTTGGTCAGGGCTCCCTCGGGGAAGGAGGCCTGGACCAATGGCACGCTGCGGCTGCACAGAGTCCCGCCCTCTGGTCCCATCTGGTGTGTCTCCTGCCTGATCCGGGACACCACAGCAAAGTATTGTGGGAAGTCCTTGGTGATGATGCGGCAGATCCTCTTCTTCTCCAGCTCCTGAGGACTGTCCAGTTCTGCTCGAGAAGAGGGAAACACTCAGAATCCGGACTCCAGCCCCAGTGGGACAGAAAACTCTGAAATTTATTTTATCGACTTCAAGGTTTCCTTGTAAAATTGTGCCCCCACAAAATCATTTGTATGACTGGCAGATGTTGCCAGATCAAAAGGTGTCATATGAGTATTGTTTAGTCCTTTAGTCCAAGTTTGCGTTGTATGACCTCGTATTTTCTGCGGGATGATGATCCGTTAACTTCTGATTAGACCGAATGCCAGAACCCCGTTTTTAAAACCCATTCAAACTCCACATGAGCGTCACCTTCGTCCATGCCGTTGAGGAGCTGGTTGAGGTCGTCCGTTTTGCAGTCGTACAGATGCTCCTTCCAGGTTTCTCCGTTCTCGCTGCGCAGCAGGATCAGCTCCCTCTCTTGACCCCGCATGGAGCCGAAATGCGGGATCTCCACTATAACAGGCCTGGAAAGGTAAAAACGGTGGATTTAATATTCCATTTCCCCTTTGGGTTAAAATGACACGTGACACAAAAACCAACCAGAAATACATCTGCTCAACCATCGGCCATCGCTGGATGGGTGAAGGAAAGACATTTATTCACTTTCAAAGCGATGATGCATGACTTTTGTGAAAACCATGACATGACAAACTGATGCAAAACTGAATTAGAAGCACAAATGATGAAACCGTTTAGGTGGCACCTCTTTTGAACACATATCGACAGTAACCTCCTCAAACCACTGAAACTGAAATCTGAAACATTGACAAAAACATTTGGCCGACATGAGAAATGTACGAGCTGTGGTCCTGCTGGTGATGGTGTTGCTGGGTAACAACATTAGCCGCCGTGCTGAGGAGCTGATGGGACATCCAGAGTGAATGCAACAGATGAAATGCAAAGGTGGTGGAAGGGGGGGGGGTAGAAAGCTGCACAGCCCTTACTGAAACGAGCCGTGATCTCAACACAAAGTAACGAGTCTCTGCAGAGCACAATGAGGGCATTCCTCAAACAACGCGAGCTAGACGAGCAGCCGATGCCCACCATGAATCATCCCAGCGCGGCTCTTCATTAACAGAAGAGCTTCATTCTTGGCTGCAAAGATCTTTTATCGGAACAAGCGTCTGGGAGTTTTTGAGCAAATAGTGTTTCCTCTTGACAAGCTGCCCCCAAGGTTTTTGTGTGTCACCGAATCTCGACCTCTGACCCCAACCAAACACCTCAGCTGAGGTGTCCCCACTCATGTTCTGCAGAGAACTCAAGTTAACCACAAGACAGAGAGATGAACACCCCTCGGATGAAAAAAAGAGGGGAATACAGATTTGGTGGTATCAGACAAACAATATTAAGATATTTTATACCATTATCCAAAATAGTTTTTCATTTTCATTTGTTTTACTCTTAGAGAAAGATATCAGAATAACACATAATTTTTAACTCAGTTTTTTGTGCTTTTATCACCTGATTTGATGGAAAATTTCACATAATTTCTGATAAAGATATGTCTGCTCTGTTGATTCTTTATGTACATAATGAAGGACAGGCGGATGAAATACTGACAGAGACTGGTAATAATCAAGCCAATACAAGTCAAAGGCATCTTTTTTGTACATTTCAGTTTTCTTTACTTCTCTGTTACAAATAAAACTTTTTTTTTTGTGCTTTTGACTTATTTTTCATAAAAAAATTACACATATTGCACTGATGATCGAATTAGACTGTACACCTCCGGAAATTAATTTGAGCCCCCCCCCCAAAAAAATGAAACAAACAAACCAACAAAAAAACAAACACAAACGTTGATCTAGAACATGAAGTAACAGCGGTCATGGGAAGCAGGATGATGCTCGGCTTGAGGAGGAAACGGCTCATGCCCAACAAGCGCAGTCCAGTCCAAACAGCCCCTTAAATCTTTTTACATTCACTACTACCCAATGAGAGCTTCTGAAATCAAATATATGATGGAGTGGCAGAAATTAGCTGCAATGAACTCAGAGCTACATTGTGTAGTTTTAGGAAGAACTTGAAAAGTAAAAACACATCCTTCCTTTCTTCCTGTAATGTTGCTGAGGCAATAAAAAATCCACTTTTCCTCCAACACGATTTCTTCCCAAAACTACAAAAAAACTATCTGAATGCTGTGTCCTCGCAAATCAAAGTCAACTTGAGATGGTTAAAAGAAATCCATCAGCATGAATCAGCCTTGGTCATGTTGTTTTCCTTCGGGGGAGGAGGAGGAGGAGGAGGTGGGAGGCACAGGAGAAGGAGGGGTGGCGGTGAGGGGGGGTGTGGGAGCCAAGTTTGGTTCCTACCCAACAAATCTAGTTCCGGTGGGTCCCAGCTGTAGCACGGGACTAACCAGGCTCTCGCCTTCATTAAGGGCTGGCAGCTTTCTGGGGAGGTGAAGTTTACTGTGTCCGCAAGATAACGAAACACACATTTACACAACAACGCACACTCACATTGTCAGTTCAAACACAAAGCGTTGACCTGGTTGATGGTAGGGGAAAATGTGGCCCACTCATTCAGCAAACTGACAGCAACGAACCGAGATCTAAGCTAAATACACTCATATGTTTGTTTTAACCGAGAATAATCTAACGCAATAAAAACCCTCATTGAGAAGAAGACACTAAAAAGAAGGCTGGCTACAGCTCCTTCAACGATAATCCAGCCATTTTCTACTCTGGATAATGTAATATTTTGGCACTAGGTCATCAGCCCACATTAGCAGATGTGGTTCTTCCATTAAATAATGATCATTAAAACAAAGTGTGTGGTTCTTGAGCTATAAAAGATTATTACAGATAGCATATTGTATCATTTAAAGCCAATACATGCCTGCGTTATACAGACTCTCATTTTTAACTGCCAGACAAAAACCTGTGGATCTTAATAGCTAATACCATTTAAGGGGTAATGAGAACAGTGCAAAGATGTCGGTTCATTTAAAATTTTTTTCCAGCCCTAAAAAGTAAAAATGAGAAAAGGTTTCTTTAAGACATTCTTGTCCTAAAATATATCATTTTCCACATTTTACAACCATTAAGGATGGTTGCTTAGGCAAAATAGGCAACTTTCCTTAAAGATGAGCGATATTACCAACACTGCAAAATGAAATGCAGGCACCAGCACACATATATCCACACACATACACACACTCACACACTTTCAAATACCAACGCAGGTGGCCCCAAATGGAAATGGCAAGAAGCAGAAGGAGGGACTTGTCATGTCATAGCACAAAAAGTAAGCTATGGGCTCTTTAAAGACTTAAAACTAATAGACTTCCTACCCGAGGAACTGAGCTCCGGCTGGGCCCACTTCCACCAGCCGGCTGGCCTGGCCTTCTCCTTCCACCATCGGGGGGGGCGAGGCCAATTTGTGCCTCTTGACCAGCCGACAGGTGATCCTGGTGGGCGCCGTGCACTTCCGGGGCGGGATGATGATGCGCATGCCGTTGTGGCGGCTGCCCCTCATGGAGCCCCCTCTGGCGTCCACCATGAAGCTGACCAAGAACCTGACGGAGGCCGGAGAGGAAGGAAGAAGAGGAGACAGAGATTGGTGGGAGATGCGGTGAAGCGGAGAACAGAGGGAGGGATACAGAAAAAGTAGTGGGACAAGAAGTACAAGATGTAAGTTTAACATCGGTTCTGATGAAGAGAAGAGTTTTAGTCGGGGTGAGGTCGCTTCCCATGCTTGTGATCTTCAAAACACTGACAGTCAGCAAAAGAGAAGAGAGGCAACCGAACAAAAACGTCCGGAGGATTCTGTGTCGGCAAACTATAATTAAAGCTGTGTCTGAAAATGATGCCATTTGTCACACAAGACCCAGACTAAAGCAACTTTTATGACAGAAAATTGTATTTTACTGTACAAGTGGAATAAGGTTTTTACTTACAGATCGTCATTGTTTTAACATCACGAAAAATTGGGAGAAATGGCTGGATACTTTCTCATAATTTTTTAAACACAACTCACGTCAATTCGAAAAATCCTACTAATCCGAAGTCGTTAGATTTGCCAACACAGAAGCCTCTGATGTGTTCTGTGTTTAACTTACATAAAGAGGAAGTGTAGTTAACTCTGCAACTCACTTAAAGCAAAGAAGGAAATCAAAAATTCACACGCACAGAGCCACATCATGCCATTTGGTGCCTGAAATGTGTTAGTTTGCATGTTGTTACAGGACAAATACAGATAAACTTCCAATTTAAAGAGTCAAATCACTCCTTAAAGAGAAACAGAGACGGACTCAGAGACTAAACACACAAAGTGATGCATATTTCCAACTGCAGTCGCCTTAAAGTCACCAAGAAGACGTTCTGTTTAATAGTTAAATGTTTGAATATGCAATAAGGTAACCCTGGAATTTTTAAATCAACATTTAGCTGGATCCTGGCGCACAAACTCTCTAATATCAATTTGAGACTCACGAAGATGTCAAGGAAACCATTTTTTGACAAGTCTGTCTCAACACAGTCCATGGGTGAGGGGAGGGGAGGGGGGGGGGGGGGGGCAAACACAGATGTTATGAGTGAGGGGGGATGTCACTGGAAACAAGGTAGTGAAAAAAGAGGGCAACCAATGACAGTCAATCACCTGCTGTCGTACTGCGGGAGCGGAGAGGAAAAACTGCAGGATGGACAACAAAGCAGCGCAGGAGGGTCAGGTCAACAACAGAGTTTCAGCACAGGAAACACCACGCAGAAGACCACCGAGGACTCCTTTAACTTTGGGCAACTCTCAGAGTAAGAGGAGGAGATCTCTTTCCCCCCTCAGAATGGAACGACGCTGATTACACATTTATAAATCAGTTCAAAAGGTGGATTTTCTTTGATTTTTCCCCAGTCGGAGCCAGATTCCAGTCATAGCTCCTTTTTTTCTGTCTTTGGATAAATCTAACCAGCTTTAGACACTCTATTTCTTCTAAAAGCAGCTTTGATCAGTTCCTGATTTTGTGGAAATTGATCCGACGAAGGCTGCAGGTTAGAGCTGCTTCCCCAAAGCTAAAGAAAATTCAAATGAAAGACCACCTCTTCTTTTCCTCTTTAATTTCAAAAATCATCCGATTTTCCCCTCTTTCCTAGTCCTTTGATAAGCTCTCCCTTTCTTCCCCTCTGTCTTTAAAGCCTCATTTTCTCAAACAAGCTTACCCGGAGTGTATCGGTGAGGAGACGAGGTTGACATTATCCAGAGCGTCTGCGGTCCAGCTGTATCTCCTCAGAGAGTCGTTGTCAGCGTCCTTGACTGCTGACAAATGCTGGAAAGCAAACAACAGGCATGATCGGGATGCATGGGATATTTTCTGCTGTAATGTACTGATGCATCAGTCTCACAAAGGGCTGCAAAAGGCTTTTAATCAGATGGGTTCCCCTAAAAATTCATCTATAAAGATCATTTCCAAGTTACAAAGAAAGCAGCTGTCATTTAGGAAATAAATACAAAAAATGTGTGATAACGTCACGACACGAGCTGGAAAACAACCAAATGCAACAGAAAAAAGAAACCTGAATGGACGACAAATCCCTGAAACCTTTCCCCAAACCACGACATAAAACTTTAGAGATGAGTTTGCTTTTGAAGTCTAAGTGAAATAATGATTTCATGAAAAAATTATGAACCCATGCTTAAAAAAACTAAAAAAAATCTTTTTTTTAGATGTCAAATTCACTAAAGGGATCACGTTACACTTTTCTGCATCTAGATGAAGTTTTAAAGATATGATTGAGGTTTTAGTCCACAAACACAATATTAATTTGATCCCTGATAGTTGAATCTGAGACCTTTTCTCAGAATATCAGCCCCACTCATTTCTTCTTTGGCTACGATGGCCCTGATACACTGTTACACACAACACGAGAATAAAAAAAAGACAAAAAAAAAAGCGTTGGCATGCACTGAATGAGGAAGCAGACACTGACTTGGACATCTACCTTGTTATGCTGCTCTATAATGAAAGACCTTTCCTTAGAGAGCATCTGGAGCAGCGTGAGAGGAGAGAAGCTGTTATTCAGCAGATGTTTCATGCAAAAATCAGACTGAAGCTCTCCTCTTGAATCACAGCGTCACTTCTTGTCACGACGAAAAGAAAAAAAAAACACAGCTTTGGGGACTTTATGAGGAGCCTATGGAGTTTGTTTTTTTTGCATGTGCACACATACAAATTGCAGGTGGTTTAGCAGAGAAACCAAAATGGCTCCGTTTTATAAACAGGTTTACTTCTTCTTCTGCAGAAATGCTGAAATTTGTGCAGCAATGCCGCAGTAAACTATTACTCAAAGTTTCCCAGCTTCTTCAAAGAGTCTGGGTTTGGTTTTTGCCGCACCCTCAAAGGAAGTGGGTCATCCCAGTAATCTCTTTCCGATAGAGGGACTCGGCGCTAATCTCAGGCCCTCTCTCGGAGGAGCGCGGCGGGACCTGGCCGTCTTTATGTCAGTCCCACCGCAGGTGTAAGAGGATTGGGGAAAAGGCCTTCCTTTTGGCTCAGGACCAAGGCAGCTTGGCTCACTTGGAGGCAGAAGTGTGTCACTTGTGACTCTCAGATTAGACAAGCAGCAGCAGAGGCCAATCAGAGACACAAAAAGCGCCTTTCAGCTCGGCTGGGGGGGGTACGTACCGTGTCTTTAGTGGGGGCCAGCATCTCCTCTATCATCATGCTGTCCCGGGTGAAGGAGCTCCGGTTCAGCGTGTTGGACCTATCAGAACTGAAGGAACGCAGGCTTGGAGTGGTTGCCGTAGCAGTCACGGATTACCAAGACAACAGTCACAGTGATGACGGGGGGGGGGGGGGGTGGAGCGGGGGGAAGGGGGGGGTAAAGGGAGGGGGGGGGGCAAGGGGGGAAGGGGATGAAGGTGAACAGGAAAAACAAAAGAAAAACACAAAAACAAACACAAAAAAAAATACATTAAATGCATGCAGCTTCCAGGAACCTGACTGGATGAAACCAGTGACATAACAGCTCTAAACTGACAAGCAGAGACTATTTCACAACAATCCCAAGAAAGTTCTGATGGAAATGGGGTTAAATTTTCCCTTATGGACATTGGTGTTGGATGGTTAGAGCACTGTGCAGGCAAAAACATGTTCAGTCTGCATCGTCTTTTTTCAGTTTCCAGCTCCTATCTTTTGGCAGCGAGAACCCAAAAGGCAGCTGATGAAAGCGGGTTTGATGGTGAGGAGCGTGGAGCCGACATCGGCCGTCGTGGCTGTCACAGTCTGCTAGCTGAGATGGTTTGTGAGGCTTTACGATGGGCTTTATGAGGCAAAACAGGAGCATTCCTGAGCAGTGACGGGACGAGTGTTCCCCAGAAACCTCACAACAGGAATCGGACAGAAAAGCAGTCCGAGGTAGAGGTAGAACCTTCTTCGAGAGCTCCACCAGGGTGGAAATGTGAAGACAAACAAAGACCTGGACGGGATCTTGTTCTCTATCTGGGCTTTGACAAAAAGCCAAACGTACTGGACACAAACCCCTTGAGGTTCTCTAAACATCTACACTGAACAAAGTTACACCAACAGACGACAGGCTGTACAACAAACACTGATACAACACTTTAGCAAACGCTTGTACCTCCAAACAACCTATGTGTGCATTTAGCCCCCCCCCCCGTATTTGGTCATATGCTTCCAGGAAACCAAGTTTCCAGCTAACAGCTCTTTAGGAATCATCAGAGATCCTGTTTTCTGTCCGTCAAACTGTGTGATCACTAAAGAGGTGTAAACAAATGATGCATCTTTGTGACAGGCAGCTGCTAACCAAGAGCCTAAAGATCCACTTTAAACTATTTGTTTGCTAAGTTGTCTGTTCTGTGTGGACGAGACGCAAGTTTATCCCTTCATTCGTTTTCTCAAGCTTGAATGATTCGTAGGTCAGCAATTAGTGGCTCAAAAAACAAAAGCACATTCCTCCTCATTCCTGAGGAGTAGAAACAAAACACCCAGTGTCCAGAAAAACTTTGAGAGGACTTCAGGAAACCTGGAGAGCTCAATTCCAACTGTAAAAGATTAAAAGGTCGTCTTCATTAAATCTGCAGACGTTTTGGGATCCCAGTTCATGCACAAACCCACTTTCTGAGCTTGTAAAAGAGGCTTTCATATCAAATCTACAATAAAGCTTTCGAAAAATGACTCTCGGATTGTGGTAAACCGCGCTACAGCAAACACACCTCAGGTCCCTGGAAGCTCGGCGAGGGAAAACTCCACACTGACACCCAAATATGACGCAAAGCTCCAACTTTGTGCAAACCCACAGAGACTCAGGCAGAAATGATAACAAGTCAAACACAAAAGCAAACGGGAAGGGGGGGGGGGGGGGGGGGGGAGGCTGTTGGCCACAAGCAGCTGAGTTTTTGGATCAACTGAAAGTGAGAGACCAGACAACAGATCACACACGGGAAACAACAGCACTGTGTTAAAACACGCAAACCCGCCCACGCCGTTGCATTAGTATCAGAGCGTGCAGAGAGGGCGGGGGCTGAAAAACCACAGAGTCATGACACTGGGGTCGGGGGGGGTGGGGAGGGGGATTGGGAAGGCACGGGGGAGGCCTCGTCATGCCTTGGGTCTTACCTGACTTTGGGACTAACATTAAGAACGGACATGAGGAGAGAATAAAACATCATGAGCGAACGGAGGCGTGGAGAGGTGCAGAGAGGAGAGAAGCCAGAAGGGGGGGGGGGGGGGGGGTGCAGAACTGTGCAGAAACCTGGAGCATCTGCTCACTAGCTTCACCTCAGTATGACCGGGCATCGGCTCCAGTCTTTTACCGCTCAAAGAAAAGCGTTTTTGGCTAATTTTGGGTGAGACAACGGGCATTTTGGCCTATTCTGATTTGTTCAAGGCGAGGGAATAAATGGAGAAACGAGTTCTCTTTTGCCTTCCCTGCGTTTGGTGTCAACATGTCCAGCATGGTCTGGGTTTGGATGCTGTGGAAGTGATGCCACCCCCATCGATGCAAAGGGAAATGAGTTTGTGAAACCGGTTCGAAAGCTGGGATGACCAAACAGGTACTCGGGCGTGTGTTGATCTAACCCAGTGCTCAAGGCCATGGGATCGGACATGTTTCTCATTTCCTGTGGCCCAATGTCCGAGTGTGTCACCCTACAGATATTCAATAACCCCTCCCTCTGCAGCCTGTTAATGTGTTACTGACAGAATAAAGTTCAACAGCCACAGGGAGCAAACTATGACCCACCCCCCTTCCAACAGTGAGGGTAAATCTGTGTGAGTCTCCTTTAAAAAAACTGTTTTTGTGGGGCTGTTTTTAGGTCCCGAGCTTTCCCCAGATTCAACGAGCTGTCGGCGGTTTTCTTAATCCCCAAACCCCCAGCGCCACATTTAAACTACAGCACGTCGACGGCACCAAACGAGCAACACGAAACGCCAAAGAAAACCACAGAAGAAGAGCAGCCGCCACCTTTCTGTTGTTCAGCTTTGACAAAAGAAGGGCATCGTTTCCAGCTCTTTTTTTTTTTTGGTGTGTGTTATTCTGCTCTCTCTCAAATAAAGGGGGCTACCTGCGGGGCAAAAAAAGTCGAGCTGAAAAACATCTGTTGCTTGCAAAAAAAGTGCCCCTTCTTTTGTGATGTTTTGTGATTTAATATATCAGCTTCAGCTGCCTTAGGATTTTAAACAACAAAAATGGATCCTGACAACTCACCTGTGGATCACCTGTTTTTCAACACAACTTAACTTTCTTACAGAAGTGAAGTGCAAACAGGGTGATGTGCCTTTAAATCTGAAATTTGCTGGCTACATCTCAGCGGTAAACACTCAAAAAAAGCTAGTTTCAGCTCCAAAACCTTTTTTTTTTTTTTAATATATTCCTATAGAACACAGCAACTGTGCCTAACCCCGTGTCCTCTGTGATCGGTCCAGTACAGTGAATTTATCGTGGCTTTTCTACTATAGCCAGCTATCCCAGAACGCACCTCAGAGATAAATGTGGATAAATGTGTCCTAAACCATCTATGATCCATTCAGGTCAGATCGGATCAGATCTGCAATCCATCCTGACTGTGTTTACACCAGAATTTAACAGAATTTGTCACTCAGGATGCACATTTATCACAACAGAGAACAGGGCTTTAAGCTCCATAGCATTTACACCTTTAATTTACTTCTTTTCTCAGATTATTCCTAATAAATATGTCACCTGTTTCAGCAAGAAAACAGGACACGATAAAAGAAAAATAAATCCATTTTAGACTAAAATTCTGCAATTTCTCAATGGAATAAATGTGAAGGTGTTGGATAACTCTCACAAACTAAGACAATTACAACACAAAACGTTTGAATGAGGCACGTTTGATGATATTACTATCAGAAACTAAAGAAGTTGGAGGGCGATCGTTATGGAGAGCCTTACCTTTGTGATCGTGCACCCACACTGAAGCCCATGTAGCCCTCCTGAGGGAGGGAGTCGTCCCCCAGCTCCCGCAGGTCTTGGGGGGCCAGATATTTGTCTGTGTCCCCCGTCATTGCATCGTCACCTGGGTGGACGAACACAAACAGAGTTTAACAATCCGAAGCTCGGCCTCTTCCTCTCATCTCCCGCGGGTTAAAGATCGAAATGTAATCCTCCGGCGTGAGAACTAAAAGTGTAAAGAACTGGGGCGGTCTCCCGGGTCCACCTTCCTTTGGCCCATTTGCTGCCTCATTTAAGGGTTTTAACTGGCATCTTTTTTTCCCGCTACAATGGGATAGAATCCTCTTTGTTTCTGTGTTTGTCATTCATGCAGAAAACACCGCCACTCTCAGACAGATCAATGCAGCCTCTCTGCCCGGGGGCTGTTTTCCGGCTCAGCTCTGGACTAATAAACACACCCAAAAAGTCAAACTTTCACTTTTTTTGATCAAACAGCAAACTGCTCATCAGAAAGTAGTAAAGTAAGTAAGTAAAGCTCATCAGAATCTAAGTGGCTTGCACAGATGGCACGAGGAGGTTTTCAGTGGATCTTTATGTCATCTGCACGGCAAAACAAGTCATCCGGACACTGGAAAGTGGTTTAAGAGTTGTAGTCATACGTCACGGGCGCAGAAAGAGGCTGTTAGCAGCATGTTATTCCCCTCAGAGGTCCAGTGGGTCCCGGCCTGCTGACCAACCGGCGGCCGGAGAGCTGGACCAGCAAAAGGGGAGGGGGAGCAAGTGCATGCAGAAAGAAAAGGAAGGCATTCCAGCAGCCACAAAGAGAGACACCCCCACTGCCCCCCCTCTCTGTAGCTTCACCCCCTGCTGCCACAACACCCCTCCCCCCCAAACACCCCAAAAAAAAAAAGAAAAACTTTCTCCGCAGACACTTCACAGAACCCATCTGGCCACATTCCAGGTCTTTTTTCCCCAGGACCCCCTCTGAGGCCGGCTCCAAAGGGGCGCCCCCCCCCCCCCCCCCCCCCCTCAGAGAGGCCAGAAACTCACCTCCTGCCTTAAAGCACTTCATCCAGCCCGTTTGGAGGACTTCACCCTGAACTAACTGTTGCTCCGCTGGTAACCTCCCCAGCAGCCTCTCGGCTCGCACTAACTGTCCCGTCTCTCTTTCAGAGCCCCGGAGCTCACACAAACAGATCGGCTTTCTCCCGCCTACCAACCCCACTCCAGGATTATCCGCAGCGCGCACGCGTGTGTGTGTGACTGAGTGTGTGTATGTGTGTGTCAGTTTCAGGACGGACACCTACAGCTCCCTGCAGGACAGAAATAGCAAAAGGGGGGTGTGCGACTCAGATGGTTGCCTAACATCTGAACGCGTTCCTTCATCTGCTGGAGCCTCCACTCCCCCCCCACCTTTAACTTTAGGGGCACCAGTTTGTTCATCTCTTATGTTGTCTTTCTCTTTGACTCGCTCTCTTGCCACCTGCCCAGCTGCACTCTTAAGCTTCTCGTTGCAGACGGTTGAGATTCTTTGCTGAAAATATCTTGCTCTATCGTTTAACTGATCACCTGTTTCCATCTGTCCCATTTCCATCTTTACCAGCTCATCTCCATCCTTTACCCCGTACGTGTGTGCACATAAACCCTGTTTGAATTTGTGGAATATTCGCCCCAAGAAAAGCATCACGTGGAGTACATCGTTACAATGGTATCACCTTAATTCCCCCCCCCTCCAAACAGTAAAAATACCCTAAATTCAGAATGGAACTAAGTGGGTCATGTATTTTGTAATAAAGCGCCTGCTGATGAACCCACAGGCTGAACTCTAACCATGAAGAATGAGCATTTTCTGCAGGTTTGCAGGAGGAATCAGCAAAGGGTTTCCTGACCTGAATGTCTGGGTCCTTTTCAATGAAAATGTTGATTAGTGGATTCTCAGAAGGCTTTATGCGTCAGTTTGCTCCATTTCTGGATTTCTGTTTCGGCCGTTGTTGCCGCTGATTGAACTCGCTGTGGTCACGGTGCTTTTAAATGCTTTTAAACAGACTCTGCTTTGGAAAATATGTTGCATTTGGATAAAATTAATGGAGAAAAAAACTGGCATAACATTCTCCTCTGTGTTTTGGTTTAATTTCTGATCAGCCAATGAGAGTATCACCCAACTCTTCCACCCACTTCTTGTATCCAAAAGTCGGGTTCAGAAAACTTTGTCCTGGTCAGCAAACCTGTCTTATTGCATGATGTGAATAAAACAGAAATCTACTCTGTACTGTTGGCAGACATAAGCTCCACCATTTGACGGGCCTGTTTCTACATTGATCACTTCTTTTTTGGCAAACACACACTGCCCTCTTTAAACGGCAAACGGCCACATTTACTGTAGACTGTAAAAGGCCTCAGGTGGACACTGGTGTAAAGGGCATAAAATACCAAACACAAGCTGACAAAGTTCATTCTTTAGTATCCCCGTGGCTCAGATTGGACATCTCTGATGACAGACATTGTGCAGATTTAATTTCTTTGGAATAAATCCATGTTTGACAGAGTTTAGAGGGATCGTGCAGGTTCTGCGGCCCGTCCTGATTTAACTCCCGGCCTGCGTGTTATTGGAGATGTTAATCACTGCTGTTACTCCGCTGGCACGCAGCGCGTGTATTTGTGCGACTACAGTTACACTGGATGTATTTTTAGATTGGACGTTAAAGGGGGGAAACACCAACATGAGCAGAGATTGGATGTGAAACACACAAGCACACAGCACAGCGTTTGTCTTAAGTGGTTTTGGCCTTCAATTTCTGTTGGGTTCAGCTTTAATTACATTACCTCCTTGCTTATTCCACCAATGCTGTTTTTTTATTACCTTAATATTCAGACAAAGATCTGCATGCTACTTTCATTTAAACTGAACCCAGAAACACTGACACACCTCATGCTATCTCCATAAAGGCAGCCATGTTTAAAATGCTGCGTTGAGGAGAAATGTATTTCTTTGGTCTGCTGACAACTGACAGCAATAAAAACATGTGAGATGGTGAGAAACGTGAAGTCCTGACACTGAAAGACTGCCTCTGGTTAATGTCGATGCAGTTAAAACCTACACAAAGAGCGAGTTAAGTGAAAATAAGACACTTAAAATAAGTGTGACAATAATGTTGAGTAAAGCTAATTTAAACAATAATTAATGCAAGTTTCAATTCAATTAATGCGTCTAGTGGAATTCATCTAATTTTATGTCAACACACCAAGGACACAGAAATAGATACCTCGGAGAAAGTAAATACTCAACTCTACAGAATATTCTGTATCCAGATTACAGAAAAAATTACATATGAATGAGAAAAATACTATTATGTAATAAAAATTTTCGCTGTAAAATCAGAACAAAATGAATGAATGCACTTTGGGAGATAATAATGGAGGAAAGTTGCAAAAAATAAGAAAAATACTGGGATATCAAGGAAAACTAAATAATTATCAAATTAGTAAATCCATTGACAAATGGGGTAATGATACAAATTTAAATTTTCAGGTGAATTCAATGCGAAAAGGAGGCTTTCGTTTGCTTTTTGGAAGGTTAATTTATTCATAGAGCTGCTGATGTGTTTTTGTTTGTATTTTGTGTTTTTTGTGCTTTTTTTGTTTTGTGTTTTAGACTTCCATTGTGTGTCGCTGTGGTACAGTTGGTCAATAGGTCAAGTTCAGCTGCTTTTTGGCACATAGGCGAAAAGCTGTGTACAAAACAAACGCACACTCCCGTGCTCACACACACACACACACACACACACCCTCCACAGCAGCTGGTTCAGCGTTTGCTTTGGCTGCTGTGTGCGGAACGACAATGGGAGCATCACTGACAATCCCCCGAAGACAAAGGGCCGAGTGAAAGCGCCATCCACTCGTCATGGTGAAAAGAAGTTTGGGACACAGTCCACCGCGCCATAAGCAGACAGTTGCCATGGCAACCATCGCACAGACCTTTCCTGTATTTCCACGGAGGCATCACAAAACACAGAAACTAAGCTGAAAGTAGCTGAGATACAGTATTAAAGAGTGGTAAAGAATAACAAAAGGAAATAGAATAGCTAAGTTTAGAGGTTGGCGGCTGATAGTTTTACAGATTCCAGCCTGGTGTAGAATTATAATTAGAATCTTATTGTAATCTTAGAGCTGTAATCGTAGAGCTGAACTCCACTTCCCTGTTTTCCTTTAATATGTTAAAAGCACTGGAGATAGAAATAAGAACAAAAGGGGGAAACAGGACATTGGAAATGGAGGGATCAAAGCACATGCAGGGCGAGTTGACGAACGAGACGAAAAATAACGAAGAGAAATGAAAAAATACCTTCTTCCACATCAGAAAAATAGTCGTCCGTGATCATTTCGGGGACATTGGCTTTAAGGACTGTGATTGGATGGAGGAGAAAGTTAAAAAGGGAGCTAAAATGACAATAAAATGATTTTAGGTGACGAAAATGAAAGTGATTGCTTGATGTTGTCGGAAGTCGGCCAACAACAAATTAAGTCATATTCATGATCAAAACAGTCAAAGTAAATGGTGTTGTGTAAAAAAACAAAACAAAAAAAGAAAACATATTATCCACAACCCCCCCAAAGACAGGATTTAAGCTGTCTCTTCAGGAATTTTTGGCTGAGGGCAGCTCAGGTGAGGGGGGCTGCTTTTCAGGTCAGACTTTAAGAACAATACGCTTTCGGTTGAATCCTTACCGTCATCGTCGGACATGTCCAGCACCTCGTTCATGGTCTCTGGGACGTTCATCCTGTGCTTCTCGATCACGGTCTGTTCAACAAAGACGTGATCTTATGAAACCACTGATTCTGACCCAAAAGAGTCACCCAAAAGAACAACACCGGCTCCAAACACATTGGGACTTGTTACAACAAACTGAAACGAATGAAGCTTAGAGCTGAGACCCATTTATGGATTTTTACTGAAAACAAACAAAACTAACTCTTTGAATTACTGCATATTACTGTCCGTCTCATCTGTGAGGCCCTGAGATTGGACAGGTGACCTAGTCAGGCTCCCGAGAGTTAGAGTTATTCTCTCTGTAGATTGTATAACTGTCTGAAAGGTGATTTTTTAAATTATTTATATATTTTTAATGTACAGCGTCAAAAACTCATACTGACCTGAGAGGTCAGAGTCTCCTCTGTGACCACTTTGAGTGTATCCACCACAGAAATGTAGCCCAGCCTCCTGGCGATGGACAAAGCGCTGTTTCCGTTCTTCAATTTAAAAGAGACAGTAAATAAAAATGAGCCACAGGAATGATTTCTACACATATTTGCCGTTCTTCTGGAGGTACTGACGGCAGTGAGCTCGTTGGGCGAGGCTCCGTGGAGCAGCAGGATGTTGATGATGTGAGTGTGTCCCTGCTGGGAGGCCTGATGGAGGGGCGTGTAACCGTTCTGCAGGGAGGGGAAGAAGTCAGAAGACGAACGTGCACGCAGGAAATCAAACGCACGACAGCACACGCAGAGACTCCCCGCGCTCACCTTTGTCTTAGCGTTGACTTTGGCCTGATTTTTCAGCAGGAAGTTGACCATCTTCAGGTTGCCATAGTGACAGGCCACATGGAGGGGTGTGTAACCCAGCTGATGACAAAAAAATGGTTTTACTGGAAATACATAATTTAAGAATGATGGGAGAGGTCTCTGATCCAGACATGAGTATATCCAAAGAATATCCAAAAATATTCACAACCCCCCCCCCCCCATGATGCATCATAACCACTCAAGAAAAGCAAAATAGTTAAAGGAAGGATGGCTTTAAATTATCAAAACCAAATGTATTCAGAGGACAAACATCTGAGTGCAAAATTGTATTATCATAGTCAGGAAATTAGGATTGATCAGCTCTGATTCATTGTGATATACAGGAAGTACAGTAAAACCAGAGACTGCAACGTCTAATGAGGTTGAGAGTCAATTCTGTTCACAAAATGAGCAGTTATTCTAGCTCTAGACTTTCCAGTCAACCTCTCATCATGCAGAGTCTAAAGATATTCAGTATACAGCTAAGACCTTTTCGGTAAATAACACAAGACGCGAAAAGAACTGTCGAATTGGAGTGAATCTGACCCAGTTTTGGATCAGTGAATGATTGGATCTTTAGGGCGCGAGGAGACAGCGGTTACCTTGGTCTCGGGGTCTACGACGGCCCCCTGGTTGACTAAAACCTCGGCAACGTTGACTTTATCCTCCTGGGCAGCCAGGTGGAGCGGAGTGAGACCAGACTGAGGATAAAGACACAGACAGAGACACAGCTGAGCACATGAACCCGGTAATACAGCTCAGAGGAAGTTAAACACAGCTGTTTAAAATAAGATGGCAGGCTCTGACATTAGGCTGGTCCGGTTTGTAGTTACACAAAACATGAAAAGTACGTCTCAGAAGTCCTGAGTGAGGCCCCTGTAATTTCCTTTAGCAAAATGAAGGCTCTGGCTGTTGAATACATGTTTATAGTAGGCGCACACGCAGTGTAAATATGTAAGTAGGTAAGTCTGTGTCTGGTCAAAGGCCATTTAAGAGAAAAACACGGGCCTACACCTTATTGCCCATGTTGACCGGGGCGTCTCGAGCCAATAGCAGCGTGACGATGTCCACGTTGCCCTCCTGGGCGGCCAGGTGCAGGGGGGTGATCCCCTGCCTGGTCACGGCGCCCGTGGAGGCGCCGTACTCCAGCAACGTGGTGGTTATCTCCATCTGGTGCTTCTTGGCCGCAATGTGGAGTGGAGTGTAGCCATTCTGCAACCGGAGACAAGGATTTCATTTTTATCTACTCACATCGTATCTAATTATCATGGTTCACTTTTATGACAACAGGTAGCCATAATCCATTAGCATTTCAAACTGAATGAATTGACTTTTTCCAATGCTGAGGATCTTTGAAAACAGTTTGCAAAATCCTCATTACAATCATTACAAAAAACTAATTACAAAAAAAATTTATTGACTCTTTACAAGATACAAAAGCTTTCATTTTTCCCTGTAAAGTTGATTGAAGGACAAGGAGAAAGTTGGTTTAGCTTAGGTTAAAGACACGAAACACAGGCAAAGCAACCCCTGGCAGGGCTTATAGCAACACGTACTGTAGCTTCTTATCTAATGCAAAATTACGTAAAAGGCCCTTTACAAAATATCTGTGTGTGTATCGGTTTTCTTGTGTTTGATGCCCCTGAGTTCGAGTTTAGCGTGAATCTGGGATCATTTATCTTCCAGCTCGGAAAGAGCACCGAATGGGAACCCGGACAAGGTTCCAAATGTGATGTATGGAGTTGATTAGAAGCATTAGCTAAAATCCATTGATGGGATGCTGGTTTATTCAATATTCCATCAGGGAGTAAGAGCCGGGCTGCTGTGAGAGCAGCTCTTTCTGGACAGATGGCGTTAGAGCGGAGGACATATTGAACCTTTTGGAGCGGGGCGAGCTGCAGCCGGCTGAAACCAGGTCAGCCTGCCTACTCTCACCCCCGAGCCAAACGGAGGGGTGACCTTTGACCCCGGGCCCCTCTGTGAACGGGTCTTACCTTTGCGGCGGCGTGCGGCGACGCTCCCTGGTCCAGCAGGAGCAGCGCCACCTTCTGGTTATCATAGTGCGCTGCCACATGCAGTGGAGTTAGTCCGCTCTGGGCACACAAACACGAACACGAGCGGCTGTTAGACGAGTGCCGAACGAGCCGATCTGTGCACGTGCGCGCCTTTTAGTCAGCTTCGGTCTCTTTAAAACTAGAAGGCCCTCAAACATGCATCACCTTCCCGGCGGCGTCGGGCGGAGCGTTCTTCTGCAGCAGCAGGTTGGCCACCTCCATCTTCCCGTACTTCGCCGCCACGTGCAGAGGAGTGAAGCCCTTCTGGAAACACAAAAAGTGTCCGATATGAGCCTCTAACCCGCTCCACAAAGCCCAGTGCATTTCATCAGGAGGGAGCGGGGGTTACAGTTCCTCACAACAACATGGGGAACGCATTACCGGGTGCTTATCAATGATAGAACACATATGCTCGGGGTGGAGAGGCTGGATGTGTGTTACGTCACATTCTTTAGCTATGAGGGGACACGCAGCCAGCTTAGATCCAGGACTGTGTTTTTCTGTCTGCTTGGTATGAGGTCATGCCTGTGCGTGCAGTCAGAGCAGAGACCGCAAGTTGCAGGATTCAAACTGGCCGTCTGGTTAAACAATATGAATCCCTATTTATGGATGTTAAACGCGATCAAAAATGTATTTTTGATCATGTTTAACTTTAATGTCAGGACACGTTTGTGCTTCACGAGTCGCTATGGGCGAGCTCAGACTTGATTGTGTTGTAATGCGTCAGGTTTTTGGAGATTTGAATGGGAAAATGTAAAGGATAAGAGCTATGAATTACTTAAGGGTGGCATTAGACATTTATTGTCTACTTTACACTTTCAGAAACTTTTCTTAACTTCATTAACGTCGCAGAAGTGATCCTGAAATCCTCTCTGAGTGTTGAGTTTTGCCGGTCAAAAACCTCTACAGCAGCTAAAATGTCTTCTTGTATTTCAAATTAATGCTAAATTGAAAGTTCAGGAGAATGTTACACACCTCCCTCACAACACACACAAGAAAAGGATTCTTTCTCTAAAATCCCCGAAAATATTAGGACAGCAATGATCAGTGCACACAACCGGGACCTCCATAGTTCATGTTTTTAATCAAAATTGCTTTTCAAAATGAGTAATGCCTCATGGAAACTGAGTTAAAGCAGGATGCACAGCTCCTCCAACAACACTGTTTTCACACTCTAATTTTGTCCTGATGCTATGACCCCACTCTTCCCCTGCAGGCGGGCAGCTGCAGCTGGTATTCCCCGTCATCTGACTGCAGCGGAGGTTGCATAAACATCCCTGCAGTGTCCAAACTGTACATTCAAATTGCCCTAACTACCCCTGCACAAAGAACAGTGAGTCACCAGAAGCAAATCTGGCGAAATCTACTAATGTGGCAGAAACTGCCTCCGTTAATCAGGGCTTATTAATGCCTCTGATCCTGTTTAATCTGCAGGAGAACATCCAATTTCTGTGTCTGGTTAAGTAACAGTGAGCCTCTGGCTTGGGTAAGTGCTAACGCGACGGCGTTCGCTGTTTACCTTGGTAATAATGCCCAAACTGGCGCCGTGGTCCAGCAGAGCGGCGGCCACATCTCGGTGCCCCTCCCGGGCGGCCAGGTGTAAAGGCGTGTATCCGGAGTTGGTGGTGGCGTCGGGACACGCTCCCTTGGCCAGCAGCTGCTGCACGATGTCCTGCTTGCCCAGACGACTTGAGATGTGCAGCGGCGTCTGGTCGTCCTGACAACGCAAAACCGGGAGCCCGTTGGTAAAACGCTATCGGTAGCAGTACAGGTGAAAAAGAAAGCAGGGAGAAACATCTGGGGGCCCTCTGTTCCTGACACTGATCACTGATCATTCACACGCCTACAATAAACCCATTTCATGTTGTAATCTTTCATTGGGAAACACTGGATATGAGAGGTTTTTTGGTGATAAATTTATAAGAACATGGACAGACAACAGATCCACAAACTTAGCAAGAAGAACAAGAAGGATGTAGACTCTGAACATAACCATGTTTAAATGATCTGACTAAAAAAAAAGATCTTGCTCATACACTGGTTATCAACTTCAGCCTGGTGTATTAAATATATAACACATTATTCTGAGTTTTTTAAACAGACAATAAGCAGCTGCCTAAAACTTTAACATGACCAATCGGAGCGGTCCTTAAAGAGACAGGAGCGCTTCCTACAGGAGGTGATGGGACATTGCTTTTTATTTAATGAAAAACCATAATTAACCTCCTGAGACCCGAGCTTTTATTTGGCATGCATTTTAGCTTTTTTTTTAAAGATATATGAGATACATATTTAATTAAATGTTTTTACAATTTTGTTCTGACAGTCCCATTGACTCATTTACAGTTTTTCTATTACACAATAAGAACATGATTGGATGTAAATGTATAAAACCATTTTACTTTAGATTTCAAACAGTGTCTGATAGCATCTGCTATGAGGTCAAGAGGTCAAAGCTGAATGAAAAAAAGAAGTATCATGGTAAAGAGAGACAAAAATGCAACGTCCTCTTATGAGGACACAGGGTCTCAGGAGGTTAAGACACTATAAATATGTAAATCATGGGCGCTTTAACATGGGAAGTGACTTTTTTATTGAATTCATCAGCAAATCCATAGGATGGTCTACCTTAGCCCTGGCATCGACTTGTGATCCGTTCTGGATCAGATAGCGGACCACGTCAGACTGGCCGGCCCTCGCTGCCATGTGGAGAGCTGTCTCCCCCCTCTGAAACACAAACACGCACACACGTAGGAAACATGGGGTCTTATACTTATTTTAAAACCTTGTGTGACAATGTAAACACAGAAGGAGCTGCAGGAAAAAGCAGAAAGGGGGGGGTCCCTCTTGGCTTTACTACACCCAATTCACCATAATGGCATCCCATAACATGCTGTTTCTATGGTAACCTGGCCACAGACACAGCGTGGGCGAACAAGTTGGGGTTGAACTGCGCTGTACTTCCCCCCCTTCTTCCTCTCTTCCGCCTCTCTTTGATCGGCTCGATTTTAATTATTTTCTGGATCGCGTCTGCAAACCCTCCGTTATTTCCTCTCTGCTCACGAAACAGTCAAACCGATCGCCAACAGGACGGCAAAAATAAAAAGGTCCATTCAGGGCACACATGGGGCATGAACTAATCTGATGTCATCTCACAGCTATTGTCTGTACTGAGGGGATTTTGGACACACAGGAGGAACCACAGAAGAAGAACATGATCAGTGACTTTGGTTTGTGCTGAAACTTCAGCCAAAACTCCCTCGTGAGCTCGGTTTCTGGTCTGTGATCATTAGGGATCAAACAGCGGGATAAATGAGCTTTGATTTCAGTAACAGCAAAAAGCACTTTGAGGATCGAATGAGAGACACTCAGGATTATCAGATAACTAATTATTCATTCATTTTACCTCTAAGTATACCCCGATTTCGACTGAAACACATTATAAACACATTATATGCCATTAAGGAGCTTTCTTTAGTGATTTTCCCTTCTTGTGTTGGTTAAAAATGACATTCATTTACATTTACAGGTATGAATTATTGATATGAAACAACACGAGACGCTTAGAGGAAAACCCACACTTGGATTTGAGCTGGAACTGTCAATGAATTACAGACAAGCAAAAACAAGCTGCCGAAATTAGACACTTGTTTTTGTGAGAGGGTCATAAACTTTAATAAGGTTTGGTGTTCACCAATTTACTGGGATTTTATAGGTGATAAAATGCTAAATTACTCACAGCTGAAATAAACAGACTGTAGTTAAGAGTACAGCAATTTGACCTAACTTATAAAGGACAATTATGAGAACAAATGACAATCCTTTTGTTTGTACCCAAAAGGATTGTTATGTCAACATTTTGTTCTGTTTTATTATTAAAAAATATTATTTAGTTATTTATTACAAAATGCTTTTTTTGCCTTGCGTCCTTGGGAGGGTCGAAAAAAATAAAGAGTCGAAAAGAAGAGAAATTAAACGTGGAACTTCCCAAACTCACCACATTGCTTGTGTTTGGCGAAGCCCCGTGATTTATCAACTGATGGACGATGTTTTCATGGCCCATAAACGCAGCGACGTGGATCGGCGTCAGGCCAGACTGGAGGAGAGATTAAAGTGGAGGAATTCAAGAAAAGCTGACGAATGAGTCTCAGTAGTTTGTTTCTTTCCAAATATCTTTTGTTTGCTCGCTGCTCTGCCTTTAGAAAACACAGATGTTTGGTCCCAATTAACCCAGCTACGTCTTCTAAAAGCTGGAATGCTCCTGAGATGAGGATGCTTTATGAACCCAGAAGGGAAAATATAATGTAGCAGTACTATTTTTTTTTCTCTTATTCATCAAAAGCGTCATTGTGCAGAGCTATGGCTGCTGGCAAGAACGATTTCCTGTCTTGCTCTTTGCTGCAGTGCTGCTGAAGAAGCCTCTGCTTGCAGCTCAAACAGAATATCCTACGCTGTATCACACTGCATTTGAGGAGATTTTGACATTTTTACTGCCTCTTAGACTTGAACATGCAATGAGAATTTTACCAGTAAGTCTGGCCCAACTGATTCAATCAAATAAGAAAAACCCTAAATTGATGTCATAGAATTGACATGAACTCCTTTAAATCAGGATCCACATTAGCCATGCTTGTTAAAGGGGACTTTATGATCTGTAACTTTCTAATTTGATATTTAAATATGAATAATAGAATATCTATACTACTCAGTCAAGTACTGTTCAGTTAGTGGTAATAAAAGAGGACTTGTAACCCTAAGCAATACACAAAAAAGGTGAAAGGTGTCCAGGATACTTAAAAACGGAGGAAGAAAATGCAGAATATCATCCACACGTGAACCCACACAGACTCAGACCTACCTCTGTGACTGCCTGTATGGACGCCCCATGCTTCAGGAGTAGCTCCATCACTTTGCCTCTGTTTTTCTTACAGGCAATGTGCAGGGGAGTGAAACCATTCTAAGAGACAAAAAAAAAAAAACCCAAAATGAACACATTTACAATAGAGAAATAATCCAGAAAGTCTTTGTGTGGGGGTTCGTAGGTCCTGCTGAGATGGCGGAGGACAAATCTGGAGCAGTGAATGGAAAACGCAGTACAAAGAGGGAACTTTCCTCGTTCGCCCTCCTCCTACTCTGTCACTCCTTCTCTCAAACGTTCGCCATGAAAACCAGACAAACGTGTGGAAATAATCTACTGTAAGCTATAAAAAATAAAAACTACCCGGCCATGAAATGGATAGTTTTCCCTACAACTCGCTTCTCTTTTGCCAACTTGAACACGCTCCCTCCCACTCTAGCTCTCCGGACTTTGAGGTTTCTGGCTCAAACCTATGACTTCATTTTCCTCTCCATATTCTTTTTTTCCTTCTCATTCTCTCCATCTATAAAGCCCCAGTGCTCTAACCACACCCAGATTTTTCCCATTACAGGGCAGGGATGCTTGTCTTTTGTCAGCCCAGAGGTTAGGATGTGAAGTCACAATTTTTTTCTGTTTCATTTATCCACCTCCATCATGTTCCCTGTTTCTCATTTGTTCTCCTCTATTCAACTCCCTTCACTGAAATGATTTAGAAAAGTAAGCTAGAAGCAGGAGGGGGAGAAAGGAGGGGAAGAAAAAAAAGGGGAATCAAACTTTATGTGACAATAAAAATAAATTACACTTTTTCTCCTCTTTTTATCTTCACAAATCTCTATCTTTCACAAATCTATCTCGTCACCACTGATTCTGATTAGGGATTTTCCTCTAGAGAGCTTATTGTCAAATTGATGATCACTGTAACATTGTGTCTACTTTGTAAGTCTGCTAAATGCAAAAACATAAACAAAAAAACTCTGGATTCCAGTCTGTCTGTGCCACCATCTGTTGAATTCTCTTCCAGTTCGGTGCGCTCACCAGCGCCTTTGCGTTGGGATTGGCCTTCTTGTCCACGATGACCTTTGCCACCTTGTAGTGGCCGCAGTGGGCGGCCACGTGCAGCGCGGTCAGGTAGTCGTTGGTCACGTCGTCCACCGGCACCTCGTGGTGCAGCAGCAGCTGGACGCAGTTGAGGTGGTCGCCCTGGGTCGCCATGTGAAGGGGGGACAGGCCGTTCTGGAGGGAGAGAACAGGTCCGGTCACTTCGACTTTTCGGAGCAAAAAGAGAGCAAAAATCAGGAGACTGACCTTTGTCTTTGACAGTATGGGCGCGCCTCTGTCCAGCAGCATCTCCACCACCTGCTCGTGGCCACTCCTGGCTCCACAGTGGAGGGGAGTCAGACCATCCTGTGGAAAAAAAACAGCCAAAGTTTGACCGACAGAGGAAATCCTCCGGCTAAAGAACCCAACAGCGCTGAAAATGAGCTGATTTTAAACCCGAGAGATGACAACATATTGTGGGTGCAGTCTGTGTTCTGAAGAACAAATGGCAGCACTTTTTTTTTTTATTTGTTGCAAATATTTTATCATAAACAATTGGATTATTCTTGGGCTCTTCCCTCCTGCACCTCGAGCTCGTTCTGCTGACTATCAGCTTGATTTGAATCTCGCTCTCCTGTGGATTATGCGTACCTTCGTCCGTGCATCTATCTTGGCGCCTCTCTCCAGCAGCATGCGCACCATGTTGCCGTTCCCACGCTTGGACGCCACGTGCAGTGGTGTGATGTCATTCTGCAGAAAAACAGGAGACCAACGGCAGGTCACTCACTGGCCGGGAACAGAAGACTTACAACTGAAGCATCACGCATTAGAAAAACACAACTGCTTTTTCAATCCAGTCGCAGTGGTGTCAGCTTAGAAGAAAGAAAAAGAAAAAAGGCTACATGTCCCCCTCTAGAGGAAGAAAAAGGTTTCAGCTGCAGCATTTCGTCCCTCAGTGCTCTGGGAAAGCATTTTCTATTAAGGTTCTCTTTGGTTGCCTGTCATGGTGGCTGCAAAAACCACCATGATTTCTTGAAGATGTCCAAAACTGACACACCGCTTAATTCTGAGCGCTCAAGAAATGTTACTGGGTGACTCACATTTTCTAAATCTCTTACAGTTTATATATATATAACGTTAAGAAGGCAAAATCAACAATATTTGTTTAAAAACTCATCTCCAAATTCATGCAGCCTGAAAAATGAGGGAAAAAAATTAAATAAATCTCTGAGCTGACATGAGAAAACTTTCATTTGTATGATGTAACTGCAAAAATAAAACTTTCTCATCAAAATTGTAACCTGTGATGTGAAATTGTTACGCTCACTGAAAAGAAATGACAAAAGACAAAAGAAGAAGATATATCTGCCTTCCACAGAGGTCAGAGCTCTTTGCTGTTTTGGTCATTGCGTATAATTAAAACAACAAGAAGGAATCCCAATAAACAAGCTACATTCTTGCATCCTGCTTTGTCAATAGTGACCAGGAACAACAACAAATCAATACAAATATCACACGCATTTCAGAAAGAGACAAACAACTGCTCAGTGGGAAAAAGCACACGAGCAGAATGACAAAAGCAGCTGCACCAACATCACACACTGTCGCCCACCCAGGAGACATGGGGAGTCTCTGACTGAGTTCTTCCTGCAGCAGGCATTTCAAGATCCCTCTGTGTGTGTGTGTGTGTGTGTTTGCTGTACTTGACGCAGACCTACCCTGGCCTTGAAGTCCACAGCTGCCCCCCGGTTGAGGAGAAGCGTTGCTACGTTGATGTTGCCGTAGTGAGCCGCGATGTGCAGGGGAGTGAAGCCGCTCTGAGAGGGAGAAGGCAGAGCCACGCACACACACACACACACACACAGAAATATGCGATCAATGGTAAAAAAAAAGGCTCGACCTGCTCTCACAGCGAGGCGTGAGCTAAGCGTGGCGAAGGCAGGCTGACAGAGCACAGCAGAGCAGGAGTCACACATGCTGTCGGGTCATGAGAAAGGGCTAGTTTTGGACTTTGTTAAACAGCTTTACACTCTCTGGCCACAGCATCAAACAACACCAGGACACATCTTACCCTTTATGATGCCTCATAGTGGTGGCTAACCTCTACTCAGCTCTATTTCATACTGCCGTTCGTTTAGCAGTGCGGTCAGTCATCTACAATCTAACCATGAACAACAACATCCACTGTCAATCAAACTTAACCTTTCACCTTTGCACAAGTGAAATTAATGGACGAAATATATGACATATTAGACAGCATTCAATTCTGAAGGCGAACAGTGGCCAATGAGTGTAAATTTACGATTTTCTTGTGCGATAGTTAAAATAAGTGTACAATAAGATTTTGATTTAATGCAAAATATAAGCAAAAACAGAGTCTGAAGCTCCTGTCATATGAAGTCAATGCACAAATAATAATATTGAATCTGGTAAACAGATATGAGGAGGGCTCTTTTTTTGCTTAAATTAGTCAATACAATGTAGTTATTTCTGACAGGAGATCCAGAAACAACACATGCAAGTGAGCATGCATCAATTTCAAGAACAGGCCACTTCAGCTGGAAAAAGACTGTTTTGAAGGAACCATCGGCTCAAAAGCCCAAACTATTGTAAACAGGATATCTAAGAAACCAGCTCTGGACAGAAGGCATTCATCAGAAACATAAACCATTAATTTATGGCAGAAATAGATGCTTGTATCACAGTTATCATTTCAACTGGAGTAACGCCGCCTTTCACCGAGGAGCTACTGTGGATAAAGAAAAAATAAATTCATGTGGAACAGTATGATCATAGTCTGTTCTAACTAAAAAGCACACAGAAGCTATTTTAAAAGATCCTCTTTGGGTGTTTTTCCTGTTGTGAAAGTACAAGAAACTGAACCGAACCATTCCCAACCACAAAGGTTAAGCTCTCTGGTTTAAGCACACAAAAACAAACAAATATAAAAACAAATATAACAACTCTTTATCATCCAGAGAGAAAAACCCTTCAGCTTGGCTCATGAAAATATATTTTGTTGCCCAGCTTCCTTCTTACTGAGACAGTTGACCTGTTGAGGAGCAAAATGAAGCTAACCCGCATTTAGCTTAGCATTAGCTTAGCATATGACGGCATGTATTAACAAAGTGTTTGATGACATATAAATTCAATCCTAGCATGTAAGCAAACTAATTCCAATCACAATTTGAGCCTTTAACAAGCTTAACCCCTTGTAATATATTCATTATTACCATTTGGAGAAAAAAAATAGGCTAAACTAGTTAACTTAGCCACTAAGTCACTTAGCTTAGTTGTTCCCTTAGCATTGCAATCAATTATCAATTAAATAGAATCAATTAAATAAATTAAATAGAAAATATATTTCACAAATTGTCAAGCTATTGCCCTTAATATGGCCTTTGATGGACAGTTCAATGTTAAAAATAATCTTTAAAGTACCGTGCACTTCTGGAATAACAGAGGATAAAATGTTAAATATGAAAAATGAGTGAGAGATACTGAATTTTGTTATGGTTCTTATTAAGCATATTTCCAGTTAATTTAATCTTTTTAACGTATTTTATGTATCTTACACACTTGTGGTACTTGTATGTTAGAAGATGAACTGGGAAGTCATTGTAAGCCTGGTGTGACCCAAAGACCAACAACTACGCATGACAACAGTTGTGATTTCTGATTCAAATACAGTCCAAATATCTTTAATATGGGGCTGTGTTTATGGTACTAGTAGTCCTCTGCTGCCATTTAAGGCCTAATCTGAAAAAAAACTACATAGTTTTCTAAATCGTCTAACACTTCATGACTAACAAAAGTCTTCTAATGACCTACAATCCCTGACTATATCTAAAATTCATTTTCATTTTGTAGCAAGCATACAGTCAAAGCAACACTGAGATGCAATGCAGGCCTAAAAAGTGACAGGCAGGTGAAGTGCAAAAGCATTCATGCCAGCATTTAGCGTTCATGCTAGCAGACAGAAGGCTTTGCAGTCGTGACCATGAGAAAAAGAGAGGAGAGGATCAGGAGAGAGGAGGATAGAAAGAAAAACAAACCTCTGTTGTCCTATTCACCATCATCTAGAAAGGGAAAAGGGAAAGGGAGGGAATGGAGGGGTCGGAGAGAGGAACGAATCGAGGGAGGAAAAGTGGTAGAGGAAACGAGAATGGGGTGATTAGTGCACTAACACCAGTACAACAGCAACACCAACATGGTTACACCAAGCTGCTGGATGGATACGGATATGCGGTAGTTGACAATGGGATGAACAAAAAGGGAAACATACAGCATTACACACAACTAGATGGTGGACTGCAACTCTTCCTCATTGTGTTTGGTCTGCTTTACACTTAAAGACAATATCATCTGCATGTGTTATTCCTGAAAACTCAACTTTTGTTGCAGAAAAAAATTAAAAAATATATGAATATGTACCAGGAAGAGGTTTTGTGTCCATGTTATTTACTCTCAAATGGGGACCTCATGAGTTAACATAGAGCTGCAGATGGATTTTTCAAAGGGCAAACATATTTTTGTGAAATCAACCTTGCTTAAAAAAGTAGAGAAACATGTTGAGCTCGTCTGGTTTGCTTTGTTGTTCGGATCTAACATTCAGTTGTAATGTTTTGCTCCGGACTGGGAGGATTTCTGTGCCTGAATAAAGCTGTAACGGTTTAAGTCTGACTTAAGCATCACTTTAAAAACAGACGCTGGTATTTGATTATCATCCATTGGTGAAAATAAGCCCTGGGGGGGCAGATGAAAAAAAAAAGTAAGTTTGACATTTTGGGAAATGTTTTTTATTCCTGAGAGGAAAATAAGAAGATCACGCCGATGTTTTCACGTCAGCAGTCATAGTGTGGGCAGGCACGGGTTCGGGGAGAGGAAAAATCTACAAATCGCATCCTCAATTTGTACATGGCTTCACCAGCAAATAATTAAAGCTCCTCACTTCCACCCATTTGTGGGCAGATTTAAGCCACTTGATAAAATATTTCAGAGGATACACAGTCGCTCCTAGTACACGTCTACAGGAAAAGCCTAAGGGGTGCGAGGAAGGCCAAAATACAAACCACACTCTATGTTGAAAAAAACAAACACCGAAAAACAAAGCGCCATCTCGGAGGCTCGCTGTACTCCTACTGTAGGCCCAGTGAGCCTACCTTTGACTCCACGTCCGCATTGTGGTCGTTCTGAAGCAGAAGGGCGGCGGCTTTGGTGTCGTCTTTCCGCGCAGCGATGTGCAGCGCCGGGAGCCGGACCTTTCCCTTGGTATCGTTCTCCAGCAGAAGGGAAACCACCTGGTCGTGGCCCTGCTGCAACGCCACCGCCAGAGGAGTGAAACCATCCTGTGGACCAGGAAAAAGCGGAAGAGGACATCAAAATCCAAGAAACAGAGGCTGGAACGAGCCTGTGTGGAGGAGATGATGTGATTTATTCCCCCAAGGGGCAAATTTGTGATAAGGTGCTTTCAGGGAACAAGTTAAAAGATTGACACAAACAGAACTTAAATTTTGTTTTTATCCTTTACGTCCAAGATCTCGAGGCATCTCTGTGTAGTCTAAAAGGAGAAGGCTGGACTTTGCTTGTGTTTCAGGCATCTCAGGAGTAGCTTCTTTCAAGAAAAACACTTTTTGGAGAGAACTTTAACAAACCTACAGTGGCTAATGTGCCCCATGTGTCCAAAAGGGTCTGATCAAGGTTCTTAAACATTTAGCAGTGTAGGAAATGTTAGTTCCAAAGACATTAGGTGCTGTTTGGTTGTCTAGTTTGAGGACGCATTTGCAGGAAATTAGTGTCTGAGAAACACAAAATGAGACACAAATAAAAGGAGACTGACTGTGAACGACTGATAAGACAATATATCAACACACTAGAGAGGAGCATAGACATCTGCAGGCAACAAAGGAAAATATGTCTCCCCAAATGAACTAAGATGCACAGTAAGGGCTGTCTGCATAGCACAATGTTACCACGCACATCAAAGCAGAACCATCCCTCGGATACCCCGCACACTGGGGAGCATCGACACAAAATAAAAAAAGAACACACACACTCGCGATCTGATCCATGGGTATGTTTTCAAAACACCCACAGTCACACCCAGGGACGCACAAACTCCTCAAAATGCATAAATTTAGCCTTTTAAAGGATTTCAGAGGTGGTGAGCTGTCCCGACGCACAGTGCTTCTGTTTCATCTGCCTCAACAAAAGACAAAAAAAACAAGTCTAATGTCCTAAAAATAATCTCGCAGACACAAAAAGAGCCATCAGAAATCTGGTTTCGGTCTTAATCTTAAAGCTTGAAAGCTTGCAATGACAAAGCAGAATCATGCTCCATATAAATAGCACCAAGAAGCTCCAACTAGCTCCTTCTTACTGCATTTCGTGGACTAAAATGCTCAAAAATAATGGTAATATGTTCGAAATAATGCAATAATACACAGATGGCAAATCATACGTCAGTAAGATTACAAAAACACATCCATTAAAAAGCTACATTTAGATAAAACGCTAAGATTAAGGTTTTCTGGGCTATTCTGCTTTCTGCTCTGTTTGAAATGGTTGAACATGAATTATTAAACACATAGAGATGCTTCCAACGTGGATATATATTTCCCCACATGAATAATTCACTCAGTCTCCACTGGAGGAGACCGCAGAGAGGAGGCAGAAAACCCACCAAAGTGCAGACAGATGCAGACAAAAGATGGGATGATGCAGGAGAGGGATTTAAAGCAGAGACGAGCTGTTTGCAAAATGTCAAAGAGAAAAAAATAAAAAGAGAAAAATCCCAACAAAAAAACAAAAAACAAAGAGCAGAATCAGATTCCAGATGTCCGTGCACTCTTTGTAAAAAACAGTTAAACTAATCTTATAGTTCGGTGGCATTTCTTTCATTAAGTTATCCTCCATCCAGCGGAAGGGCTGCAGCCTCTATAAGCTGATGGGTTCGATTTTCTAACACATAAACGGACGTTTGACCTATAACTTGTGGGCTTGATTATTTACTACCAGGACCTGCTTGTACTACAGAGTGAAATATACTAAATTAGACCAAATCTGATGTTTATTATTGAGGGGGCTGGTTTTGTCTCCCATGGCCACTTATATTTAAACACAAAAACGATTGAATTGTTCTAAAAAATCTTGCGTCTCCTTTTTGTAGAACAGAGTAATCTTGACCAGCTGAATCCAGCTTTTTTTTTTTTTGGTTTTCTCCTAAATGAGCCACAGGTGACAGGCGCCTGTTTACCGTCTCCGACAAAGATACCTTTTGCTCATAATGCTGCGGGGTGATTACAGGGGAGGCTAAATGAGGCCCGGGCCGAAGGGTAGCCATTAGGAGCTGCAAACAGCCATCAGCGCGACCGTGCATGAGCTGTTTATGTCTGCGCACGCTGGTGTCTTTACCTCTGTGGCGATGCTCTGGCTGGAGCCGTGGTCCAGTAAGAACTGCACCACCTCCATGTGGTTCTCCTGCGCCGCCATGTAGAGAGGAGTGAAGCCATTCTGTGGAGAAAAAGAGGCCGAATGGTCAATAGGGAGACCTCTAAGGAAATATTTGACGTGGCGTTAGCGTCTGAGGCTAAACAGCTTCAGAGTCTACACCTCTCTACTCCGACTACAATCCTTTTTGAGAAAAAAAGAGGACCTTTTCAGGAAACTAAACGGAACCGAGCATTGAGAGGCACACAGATTCACTTCTGAAGCTCCATTTTCCTGCACAGAAACACAACATGGAGATCCGTCCGGTCTCGGCCTCTGATCGCATTTCCTCGTTGGAGGCTGAGAATCAATAACTGCAGCAAGGCCAGCATGGATTTAGAGACTCTTGCATTAATGTGATAAAGTACCCTCCACCCTTTACTACCCTGTATGTTGCATAAAGTCCAACGTTTAATCACCCACACCCACTTAGAGAGAGCGGCGCTTTCAGAGCCGGAGCCGCGGCGGCCTCCTCTCGTCCTGCACATACCGTCACCTCCACACAGGCCCCACACCTGATAGAGGGCCAGATGACAGCTGACCCGGAGCTGAGGGCCAGGAGCACTGTGCAGAAGAACTCCCATCATCTCCATAACAACAGAGCCATAGAATAATGACATCAGTCGGGCAGAAAAAACAAATCCTGCACCTCCTTTTCTATCCTTTTTAAACACTTGACGTCAACTCTATCATAAAACGCTTCATCTTTTAAAGACAAAGCTCCACCTTGTGTGACTGGAAGTAAAACAGATTAAAAAGGTAATTAAAGGAAAACGTATCATAATTCACTGATGGGTTTAGAGTTAAGAGCGCTGTCGTTTAGGAGTCCAAATGTATTTTCCAACGCTGCAAACTACACACCATAAACAGTCTGCAACTTAAGCTATTTTCTGACAAAAATAGCTGGAAATATGTATTCATTTGTACGCTTATTCTTTCATTTTTTCAAACGTTCTCTTTCTCATTAAACCTAAATGAAAAGTGGGACATCTAAAACAATGAAATAATCCAATAATCCCACATGTTAATAGCTCTATTGTGACATGGAACGAAGCATTTCAACGTCTTTCCTCTCGTTATTTCTCATGGAACCACCTCCGACTGGCTCAGTGATGATAGTGGGTTGTTTTATTCATATGAGGAAAATATGAGCCGTGTGTATTATTAATGTTATTCTAATACAGTTTTAGAAATAGAGAAACTGCTCCTGTGATGAGGGTTGTTGAGAAAGTTTATTTTTCCTTAAACAACCTTCATGTCGAAAAGATATTCTGTATTATCTGTAACCAGCCAAGCCTCCTGTAACAACATCACATTAGACAGAATATAGAAGTAGAATTTCTAATGGAATATTGATTAAAAATGTGCTGTTTTAAAGCAGCAGGCTCATATTCCTCCTCTTTTCCCAACAGTCCTCAAACCTTTTTTTATCCTTCTAGTATCGTCTCTCGACATAATGTAAATGTATTTTTTGAGAAGCCAATGTGGTTCCTTTAGACTATTTGACCAATGAATTTGGGAATAGTGGAGATTTTATGGGTGGATATTTCAGATGCCATTTTAAGTCAAACAGGATTAAAACTAACTACTACTACTACTACTCAAGTCCAGTACTAAGAAATCGATCTAAAGAGGTACAAGCTTAGTTTCTACATTAAACACCAACATATATATCAAACCCTGGACTCGGATAACAGGAACTAGCAGCTCTCAGGTGGTCGTGACGCCCCGCCCGTCGATCAGCAGAAACCAAAGTCATAATTCTATTTTGCCATCAAATTTCCATTTCCAAATGATGTTTTCGGGTTGGGTGCTTACACTGATGGCGGAGCTCGTTTTGGCTGCGTGGGATCAATCAACCTGATTGCTATAAACACACAAACGCTCCCACAAAGCACTGCAGGATGGCCACATTGCCTCTGAGACAGGAGGGGTGGGGGGGACATTAATGGGAGAAAGAGTTCTCCCCCCAAAACATCATTCATTTAAAAGAGAAACAGCCCAGCGGGCTCATTTGCATCAGCGTTTACGTTTTGATTGAGTGTGGATGTAAGGAGGGTTGATCAGTGGCCACACGTTGTGTGAATTGTGTGAACAGTGTGCGTTTGTATGATTCTGATTTTTGTTTTTTATCACTATCGACCCCACATGCTTTTTTTAAATCTTTTACAAACGAGGCCGCAGTTACGCGTATTTTTCTCCATCCCAGCGGCTCCTGCCAAGGCTTTGACATTGACATCATTACGGTTGCCGTGGCGACGGCCCGCTCTGTCTGTGTGTGTGTGTGTGTGTGTGTGTGTGAGAGCGTGTGCTGATTATGCAGAGCTGCTGACACAGCACAAACGCACACGCAGCAGTTGCGTTCGCGTCCCTCTGCGCGGACGCACACACACACACACACACACACACACACACACACACACACTCAGATGTGGGTCCACGATGTGTGCGTGTGCGTTTTACCTGCGATTGTGCGTTGACGTTTGCGCCGTTTGTGACCAGCTCCTTCACCACATCCGTCTGCCCGGCGAGGGAGGCTATGTGGAGGGCAGTGTTTCCCTTCTGTTTCAGAGGAAAAGACAGAGAAGGGTTCAAATGTTGAGGATTTGCTGGCTCCAGCCTGTAAACACTCATGGCAGCACACGGGAGCGCCTCTCACTAACCATACAGCAGCAGCTCAGTCTGCCAAGGATATCATTACAGCTGCAGACAAATGAATCTGCAAATTTTCTAAAAAAAAAAAAAAAAAAAAAAACCCAGAGAAAAGAGTCACCCATCCGCTCGAATCGACTAACCGGCTACAATCTGACAGCTTTGTCAAAATAAACCAGACTAACTGTGTTATTTTTCGTTCTTTTATTTATCATAGTGGCTGTCAGCCCGCCTGATTTCTTGCTGACTAAGCAGTCTTTTGCAGACGATGCACACGCTGTTACCACAATAACGAAGATATATTCCATCCTTACAGTTTCTATCACCATCTGATTTGCATAGAACATACTGTATGTGATATTTTTCATTGTTTAGAGCAAATTAGAAAGCAAATAGCTAAATGCTGCCCAACAAAAATGTTACTATAAAATGACTTATTTCTTCCACGTTATTTCTATTGTTGCTGATAGGGTGATCTGTATCTGTCAGCAAATAAAAGACCTGTTCATTTGCACTTTTTTTCTGGTGTTTTCATGGTCATTTCGACCTCAGTGGAGCTGGAAAAGGAATTGATCACTGAGGCGCCTCTCAGTTTACCACATGAGGAGGTTTTTTTCTGAATAGAAGATAAACTATCGCGTGATGCATCTGCAGTCCAACAAGACCTGGGTGCTTTTCCTCCTGATGTGTGCCATCACAACACTATTAACTCATATCAGGATTTGAAACCCGCCACCTCACTGAGCACTGCTCACGTGGTGAAAAACTGTCATGCAGACCAGACTTTTACAACATGGGTACTCATCCTCTCCACCAGCCATTCGTCTCCTCGGTCCCCGTTCAAGCAATGTGACTTTGGGAAGGTGCTGACTCAGCCCTCTGTGAATTCATGCATGCACGGTCTGCCTGCCTGTGCGTCTGTGCGTGCACACACCTTAGTAGCTGCGTCCACATTGGCGCCCTGCTTGATGAGCTCAGCCACCACTTCCACATGGCCCTCCTTTGAGGCCAGATGGAGAGCGTTCAGGCCATTCTGGAAATTTAAAAAGGAAGTTCAATATTAGAAAATGAAAATACAACTTTGTTAGTTGGTTTTGTAACAAAAGGTTTGCCTTTATCTTAAATATACACAATATACACTTCATTCAGTACAGTTTCATTTACATAATTTACATAAGGATTGATTAGTCTAATTACTATTATATTTATTTCTGTTATGAGTCTTTGTTATAGTTTTGATAATTCAGTGCTTCGTTATGTTTTCCTTTACTTTACACATATCAGTTTTCAGAAGTACTTTATCAAGAGGAAAAATAAGTCAACCAATAAATATAAACCATTTTACCATCTGTTTTAATAGATGAGGTAGTATTTAGAGCGTTTAACAACCTGAAACGATATAGACCTTATTTATGATCCCGTAATATACTTTTCTAATGAGCCTTTCAGACAAAAACTGCTAGAGACGACAAAAGTTAGCATTCAAAATAAATCAGGGCGTTGATTGAGAACATTTTGCTTTGTGTTTCTGTGTTTAACTGGCAATGCATGCAGTCTGCAGCCTTTTTGACTCTTAGAATGTTTGCCAACTAAAGGCTAGAGTCTGAAAGCTGTCGCACCAACAGCAGGGACGGTTAGCACATTTCTGATGAGCCTACCTGATTGCAGATATTGATATCGACTCCATTCTTCAGGTACTCCAACGCTTTCTCTAGATTTCCGGCCCTGGCTGCTCGCAGGTAACAGGCGTTCACATCCGTCTGCAGGAGGACAGGGACAAATAAAAGAGGTTAGCCTCTCAGCTCGACTTCACATGTGAAACACACATCCTGGAAAAGGATTTCAAACCAGCTGAAAGTGTGTTCTCAGCAAAGGAAAAGATTAACTACTTTAAAATGGAAGATATACATTCTTACTAGCTCCGGGCTACTTGTTTATATCGAAAACATGGAAAATACTGCAACATTAGTCAAAAGTTATTCTCTATGTGTCATAACACCATCATGAACTGCTGCAATGAGAGATAAGTTGAGAAAATCCCTCAAGGCTATTAGCGGAAAAAAAGGGGTAAAGTTTGGCTTTTAAGCCCCTTGAGAGTTGACAGAAGCTGAATGAGGAGCCAGGATGGGATAAGAGAGTTTATGGTAGGTTTAATGGTGAAAGAAAGCAATAAAACACAGTCATGATGAGCCGAGAATACAAACATAGGACATACAAACTGAAGGACTACGGTAAGGTCTAAGTTCAAACTGAATAATGTGACAACCCAGTAAAAATAAATCAGAGTAGTGACTGAAAATAAAGAGGAAAAAGTCCGGAATATGATTCTCAACACAAACATGGAAGTATTAGCACGACCCGATGCCATCCATCAGGAGGGCTGACCCCTGAGCAATAACTGCTGGGAGCGTTTGGTTTTGTTCTAACCGGACTATAATTAGCCCAAACAGGAGCCGAAAGCCCCGGCTGCGTGCGAGAGGATGTCAGGGACTGGCTGAGGTGGTGAAAAAGAGGCTGAAACACACGGGAGAGGCGGACGAGCAGAGGACACACAGTCGGTGTGTGTCTCTGGTTTCATGAGTGCCACACCCGTGCGGACACATCCCCCCACAACGCTCGGGACACGCGTCCTCCAGGCACCCGTTGACCTACAACATCGCTGTGACTCGTATAGAACAACAAACAGGCAGAAAAAATACGCACAAGACTTTAAAAGCAACGTGAGATCGCTCAGGGCGACGTGTTTGTGATCTATTGTCGCAGTAAAGAGCCGGAACCCTGACCCCAGATCATGCTAATCTACAGCTGTAGTACAATTAAAAAAAGGTTGCAACATTTTTGGTTTATTTAACTGCTGACTTTTTTTTTCTCGTATGACAACTAACTATAAAACGTGATTATTAACTCAAATGTTTGAGAGAATTACTTCATTTGGCTTGAGCTGGAGTGAATTGAAGCCTTCTGAAACATCTAGCTTTCTACCTTTCTAAATGTGAACTAATGAGAAGCAAAAAAAAAATGTTTTGATAATTCTTTCTAGACTTTGATGCAACAAATATGTCACCAAATTCTCCCTAAACACTGCCGTTAAAGCTCTGGATATGGCTGGAAACAAATTCGGCCTGTTTATCACGTGTAACTTATGCTAGCTGTGTTAGCTTCCACAGCTTCACATGACATCTCGCCGGGAGTTTGGATCTTTGTGCTAAGTTTAGTCTTTTCCTCTGACTTGCCCACTCTTGCAGACTTTAGGTCTGATGGGACATGGAAAATCCTTTTGGATCTGGAGGAGAAACATGTGTTTTTGCCTTCTTAACAAGCACAGACCATTAAACACTGTGGCATGTTCTCTCTGATGTTAATGGGGAAATTTCCCTTTGATTCTGTGTGGGATTCGCTTCCAAACCACTGTCAACTAGATTTGGAGATATGTTTAAAGGTTTATGGGATGTTTTTTTAAAAGTACAAATTTAATTTTTGGGCTCTGCCAAAATAATGATGAGTTTCTGATGAACGTCTGGTTTAAGGACAAAAGGATGGGACTGAGAATTCTGTCTCCTTTGTGGACACAGATATGTACGCTGGTGCATTTTTGTATGCTTTTGCTTCTTCTACAGTGTGTTTGCAGGTATATCCTCCCACCCTGATGTTTTGTTCTCTAATTCCAAAGCAGGAAAAAAAATGTCTTGATTTTCCGAATAGTTAAGCGTACAACTCAGCGATTTCCGTCTTTGTGGCGTTTATTGGACCATCGTGTGTTACAGGCTTTCTCATCATGTCCACTGCACTGTGATCTCTGTTATTTTAGACAGATTATTGGCTAAAGCTGGCTGCTGAGCTCATTTCCCACTCGGTGAATGGATCTTATCGCCGCTCATACACAAACACAGCGTGTTGTCGGTGTCAGCTTCCCCTCCGACACAGGCCGGGGAGAAGGGGGCTTACCGGACACCGTCCCGTAACCACGACCTCAGACCAACTCGCACAAGTTTGCTGAACGAATGCCTCCGAGAGTGTGTAAAAAAAATAAAATAATTAAAACTATACAGCTGTTGGAACTCAAGCCTTCCCAAATGTTTGTGTGCTGAAGACAGACTGCCAAACACTGATGAGTTCTGTTGTATCTCTGGATGTAAATGCTGTAATTGACCATTCTGCTCAAGTTGGGATGATATTTGTTATTATGATTAAACTACTCCAAAAGTTTTTTTTTCTGAGAACTTAAATTTTCTTAAGTTGAAGTCATAATTGAGTCATTTCTTCAGATCTGAGAGCTGTCCATCTAAAAAGACCTCAATGTTTTCAGGTTATATGTAAATAAATACAATATAACCATCATTTTCTCAAGCGATCCAAGCCTTATTATTGTCACATCTCCATTTAAATATGTGATGTCAAGCAGTCTGTAAACACACCAGAGGGAAACTGGACCACAGCTCAGGGCAGATGGATGAGGAGCTAAGCTGTTAGCTTCTGAGTCACATGACTCATTCATCCTGCATTATCATGTTACGAGAAGAAAAATCACAGCGAATGTTCCCACTGCAGTGATATCTACTGTTTACTATAAACTTTAAAGGTCAGCTTCATTCATCTAAGTCATCATACTGTTCCCTCACTGACCTGGAATTGAAGCGTCCACCCACAAACCTCGTCCTTGTAGTTAAGATAACTTGCTTATGACACACGTGCATTCTTCCGATTTAAAAGATAACAAACAGAGATTTTTTTCTCTCTGCTGCTGTTGTGTCAAAGCAGGACTTGAGGCGGAGGGGTGAGGAGGTTTTTAAACGTCGGGCGGCAGGAAGCCAAACCTTTAAGTGAAATGTGACTTGGCAGCACATGATTCGGAGACTTATCAGAACTCCGGCTCAGAGCGTCAACCTCTTTATAACATTAAAAAGCACTATGGCTAAAGAGCAGAGGGGTTTAACCAGTTTTTTATGAGCTGAATTTCTGCACGACAGGCAAAAAGACGATGAATTTCCAACTTGGAGAGCTGTCCTTTTTGAGCTGTTGCTACGTGTGCAGAGGCAATTACTATAGAGGAGCTCATTGAGCTGAAAGACCCCAAAAAGGTTTAAGAAAATACATCAGGTAGAAAGAGAGTATAACAGGAATGAAGCTGCTGTGCTGCAGAGCCATGATCAGGCGTGTCCATTTGCACGTGGGAATGCCTGTCATGGAGGGAACTCTCCAACAAAATTAGAATCAAATATGTCTTCCTGTCCGAACGCACATTCCTGTCCAGGGTCCCGGCTCTGGACTTCCACTGTGTGCACGGCCGTGCCCCTCTCGCTGCTCCGGGGGCATTAGCGTGCCACAGTAAGGCTGATGGGAGCCGGGGACGCAGCTGTCACCGGGATACTTCTCACAATACGGCAGTGGCCAGACTGGAGCCAGAGCAGGAAGAGATGCCGGAGTAAACGGAACAAAACGGGCAAAGTAAAGACACCGAGGTCAAGATGTTAAGACGTCTGGAGGCACGGACGCATGACCGATTCATCGAGTTAGCAGGCCGGTAGCTTTAAAGTGATTAGTCATACTCAGAGCACACAAACAAGCAAACAAATAAACATATAAACGGACCGACCAAGTCGAACAACATGTAGCTAAAGGTCTGCGTTACATTAAATCCAGAAAGCTACAGAGAGATGCTAGTTTGCCACTGTTATATTTGGGTTGAAAGCTGGAAATCTGTTTAAGCTACTATGAAAGATCACAAATTTAAATCTCAACCTTGTATGTTATCTATCTTGTAGAGTCATGTGTGAAACAGACTATTTAAACTAATTCGAAATGGCCAAATATGGAAAATTACATGACATTGGCTGTCTTTTTTTTAAATTTTAGTTTGAAACATGGAGCCCATTGGTTTTCCAACCCCTATAATTTTGCTTTGAGGAAAAATGAGCCTGGGTTCTTATTGTTTATACTGCCAGTAATTGGATTTAACTGCTGGTTTGGCTGTCTGTGTTTCCATTTACATGCCACAGAGCAGAGTTTGATTTATGCCCATCCAGCTGAGATTAAAAAAAGAGAAATATAGAAAGTCTGTGAATGTCTCAAACTGTAAAACTGACTTTAAAAGAAAAAAATAGCGAAAACTTTAATTAAAACTTTAAAGTGGAAACTCTTAAGCTGGAAACCACCATTATAACACATCAGCTTGCATCACAAGGAGCCATAAATACCTAATTATTAAATGACAGTGTATACGTGTCTTCAATATGCGAGTACATTGCCTAATTCAATTATTTATGCGCTCCAAGAAGGACCCTTTTTCTTAAAGGTTGAACAGAAAATGTCGGTAATCGAGTTCAGGATCATCTTGCGTGGCTGCTACAATCTGCTCTGAGGAATGCAGCATGAAATCATCCATCGGCCGAACGAACGAGGAAAGAAAACCAGTAGAGAAGCAAATCTGGTTGAGGTTGGGAGGGAGGTTTTTCAGCCAAAGATTTCGAGGATCTGAAGGTCTGTGGAGCTCGATCATGATGTCGCACCTCAGCCTAGGAGCAGAGCGGCTTACCAGATGTCTGCAGATGGCTTCAGGTGACATCAGGGTGTGACATTCCTGAGCAACTGTCTTTAACCGTTACAGATATGCGACTAATTTCTTCTACCAGAGCTGGCCACCACACTCCAACACGTCCACATTCATGTCAACATGGAAGCAGCTCATTCTGATGTCATTCTGAGGGACGTTCCACATCAATTACACGCCGCTTTTTGTGCACGGCAACACATGAACGGGAGGCATTTTTGCAAGCCAATTAAATGCTTAACTAGGAGATGTAAAGGCTACAGCAAACGGGCTCCAGTTCTGTGGGATGCTGCATAGTGCATGTCACCAGGTTTAGGAGGAGTTTTTCTGTTTTACTCAGCTCCAACTTAACGCCTGGTGTTGATTCACATTTCTGTTTAGTCCTTATTGCTCATTTATAAAAAAAAATCTTATTTTTCTCTTTTTAAACACACAGATAAGAGCCTTTCCATCACAGTCCAAGGTCAGGTGCTGCCACTCACGTCAGGCTGCAGCATGAATCTGTATCCACATGAATCTGTATCCACATGAATCTGTATCC